GCTGTTTTCCACTCTTCCCCAGCCTTGATTCGGATCAGGTTGTATGCTCCTCGCAGATCTAGCTTACTGAAGATCTTTGCTCCTTGAAATCTATCGTGTAGTTCGTTGATTAACGGCAGGGCATACCTGTCCTTGATTGTGATGTTGTTCAACGCTCGATAGTCCACACATAACCGTAGGGAGCCGTCTTTCTTTGGTACGAAAAGCACCGGACTTCCTGCGGGTGATGTGGATGGTTTGATGAATCCTTTTGCTAGGTTATCATCAATGTACTCCTTAAGTACCTTCAGCTCCTTTTCCGATAGCTGATATATTGGTCCAAACGGTGGACTCTTGTCTTTCTCCAAAGGTATCTCGTGATCCCATGGTTGGTGCTTAGGAAGCGCCTCGTTCTTAGGGCCTTCCTGGAATAATCGCTCGTATTCCTTGTACTCCACCGGTATACTCGTCGGTGAGGATGCCTGGGCTAGGTCATCGAGCTCGGAGGTTGCACATAACTCCTTCCGGCCCTGGGAGGGTTTCTCCCGTTGTCGCGTGTCCGTCCGTTGTTCACACGCGCACTGGCTCATCACAACTTTCTCGTTCCACCAGTCAATCTGGGGGTTGTGTTTCTTGAGCCATGGCACACCAAGGATGCACGCATGGTTGTCCATGTGCACGATGTCAAACTGAATCGTTTCCTTGTGCCCGTGTAGCATGACCATTTCCAATGGGACCGTTTCGTGGGTCACCATTCCTTCATTAGTCGAGATGGGCTCTCCATCTACGACCATTAACGGGTATGGTTCGGTTTTCAATTGCGTCTTGAAACCTTGCGTGTCTGCTACTTTCTTTGTCATAAAGTTGCCCGTTGCTCCTGAGTCAATCATTGCTCGGAGGTGTCGCTGTTGTATCTTAGCGACCACATATAGTTGCATGCTGCCCGTCGTGGCGCATAGCTGGTCTGTACTAGGCCTCTTCGTGTCGCTCGCCGGTGGCCTACCGTCGAGGACTCCTAGTTTTTTGACTCGTCCGAGGAAGGATAGTATTCATCCGCTTCCAATGGTGGTCCTTGGGGAGATCGTTTCCCTCGCTCTTCTGCTTCATCTAGCAGATGTGGGTATTTCTCGTATACCTGTTCGCTTTTGATAGGCAAGTCCCCTTCAGACTGGCTTCGCCTGAGGGCGTGAACTTGCTCTGCGTCTCTGAAGTGTATCCTGGGTGAGGATCGGGGAAACAACTGATTCTGGTGTTTCTTTTTCCAGTGGAGCTTGCAATCATCTTCGCTGCAATACTCCCAGTAGACATACGCGTGCCAGGGATGATCAGTCTCTGTTGCGTCTGTCGTTGATAGTTCCCGCTGTCCTCTCACCCATGCACTATCTTCCCTCGGAGGCGTGGAGAACGTGTCTAGTTGCTCCATGGCTCTCCTTTCGATGCGTGGAGTGGGTCTCGCATTTTCCCGTCGGAGCATATCTCTGGCTTTCTCGTCGTACTTCTTCAGGGCTCTCCTGCGGTCCTGGTAGTAAAGTTCGACGCTTTTCATATACTTCAGTTTAGCCATATGCTCGACATCCTTCTCCAGTTCTTCCGCTTCTTGGGCTTCCAACTTAGCTACGTCTTGGGACGTGCCAAGCAGCCTGCGGGTATTCGTTAGTTGGTCGTAGTATCTCCAGAGGTCATCCTTGCAGTCGTCCACCTTGCACTTTAACGGAAGTTCCTGTAACAGGTTCCCGTAGAGGTCTTTAAGCATGGGGATTTTCCTCTGGCCATTGGGCTTGTCTCGTTCGGCCCTAATCTTCGCGTGGGCGTGTTTTGCCATGCGTCTTACTACGTTCTTGCACCGTGGATTCATTGGTTCCGTAGGTGCGAGTTCATCGAAGGTCTCCTGTTCCGAGACGGTGAACGATTCCGCCTCCGACCCTTCATCTGAGCTCTCGTCTTCTGGGGTGCTTTCGCCGTTTATTCCCCAGTCCTGTTTGCTCACAAATGTTGCGTTCAACTGTCCCGTCCAGGTGGCATTGAGTTGTTTGCCGACTTTGCGTCCGCCGTTCCCTTTCTTTGGTTGTCTGCAGTCTCGGGCCATGTGGCCTGGCTTGTCGCAGTTAAAACAGAGTCGTTCCTTGAATTGTCTGTCTTTCTTAGGGTCACGGGGTCGTCCAGGTTTGAACGTGGCATCGAGTTCCATTGGGTCCGACCAACGGTTGTCTCGCGGGTGTTGATCCCGTCGTCTGCCCTCGTTTCCCCGGTAGGGGTAACTTTTCTTGGGCTTGTCATAGGTCCGACGTTCCTTCTGGAATTCGTATAGTCGATTGTCGATTCGGACCGTATGTTCGATTAGCGCTACCATGTCCGTTGGTTGTTGTTCCAAACGGGCAAGTTCCATACGTATATGGCTCTTCAGCCCACGTCGGTAGTGGCTGATGAGTGCGCTGGCATCCCATCCTGTCTGATTGCCGTATCTCTGGAATTCTGTGGAGTACGTGAGGGCGCTGCCAGTCTGCTTAAGTGCAAACAGATGGTCTTCCGCGGTCTTAATCTCATCGATGTCTCCGAACATGCGTCGGATTTCCTTACAGAATCCTTTCCAGCTGCCAAACATAGTCTGCGTAGTTGTCATGCTTCCATTGGTACTTTCATATTTGAAATAGTCCTTGAGGAATGGTTCGATCCATCGCAGGGCTTCCCCCCTAAGGTAGGACGCAGTCCACAGGGCATAGCTCTCCTGGGTGGGAAACTTCTCGTCATTGAAGTGCTGGTACAGTTCGACCTGTAGCAAAAACACCTCAAGTTCCTTTCGGTTGCCGGAGTAAGTGTCGGGCAACTTGACGCGTAGAGTTTCCTTGAGTTCGTTGACGGTGGGTGCATCGGGCATCTCTTCATTCTCAGGCTTAGACCTCTGAGACGAAGTTGGCGTGGTGGGGGTTTTCCCCTTCGAACTGACGACAGACATGTTGCTTTGTGTGTAAGCCGGTACCTCGTAGAAGTGGTGCTCAAAGTGTAACGCTGACTTCTAAACGATAGAAGACACAGAGGTTCTCTTGCGTAAAGGTTTACTTATCAGAGGAGGCAGGGGATCAGACACAAAGGCTTCAAGTAACACGTTACTAGTATATAACAAATACTGTATTGAGTTGAGCACGAAGCTCCTATCTAAGGAAATACTATCTACTTATATAGTGGCGTCGTGCCTAGTGGACTCTTGGGAACTCACTCGAGTCCTCGGAGTCCTGGACTCTTAGGACTCTTCTCATCATCCTGCGAGTCCATCACGTGCCTAGTGGACTCCTGGGAACTCACTCGAGTCCTCGGAGTCCTGGACTCTTAGGACTCTTCTCATCATCCTGCGAGTCCGTCACGTGATACTTTCGGAACTACTATTCCCCGCTGCCCCTCCAGGTACCAGGGCCGGTCTCATGCGACCTCCCTCCTTCCTGTCCTGTAGTTGGCCAGCCTTCTTGTTCCGTCGTAACAGTTAACACCTCACTGACTTTTCAGAAACAAGGAGTAACAAGATGAATGCTTGGAAGCTTGGAAAAGACGTGGAAGTATGTGATAGTCGATTTACTGTATTGTCTGCTTGCCCTTTCTTAAGGAAAGGGCAATCCTATTTATGCTAAAGGAGTGTAGTTCTCTCATTTTCCAAGACTTTCCATGACTTACCAGGCTTGGTAACTGTAGTCGACGTAAGAGAATCCCATAGAACCATCTCTTAGGTTCGTAGCCTATAGGAAGTAAAAGGAGGTCCAAGGTCAGAGTACCCCTATAGACAAATTATGTCATAGACAAATTATGTCATAGACAAATTATGTCATAGACAAATTATGTCATAGACAAATTATGTCATAACTTAACCAATCTTGTGGGTAACTAAAGAGCGATGACATGTAATGAATCATAGAGGTTCGTAGGAGCTTTTAGAGCTATCGTTCATGCTCCTAGGCCTCTAGTTGGTAGAGATATGTCATGTGGTAGTATGAGTGATGTCATGTAATGAATCATAGAGGGTTGTAGAGATATGCTATGTGGTAATATCGGCCCAGTAACTAAGGAGCGATGACGTGTAATGAATCATAGATGGTTGTAGCAATCGTTGAGTAGTATTGCTCTTGTTGTTGGTGTGATAAGCCAAAATATGTATAGTGACTTGTAGGTTTGAGGAGGAGATTTCCAAGTTTGCTCTTGAGTTTGATAGCAAACTGAGTGCAACGAATGTCAGTATGACACTTATCACACCAACAACAAGAGCAATACTACTCAACGATTGCTACAACCATCTATGATTCATTACACGTCATCGCTCCTTAGTTACTGGGCCGATATTACCACATAGCATATCTCTACAACCCTCTATGATTCATTACATGACATCACTCATACTACCACATGACATATCTCTACCAACTAGAGGCCTAGGAGCATGAACGATAGCTCTAAAAGCTCCTACGAACCTCTATGATTCATTACATGTCATCGCTCTTTAGTTACCCACAAGATTGGTTAAGTTATGACATAATTTGTCTATGACATAATTTGTCTATGACATAATTTGTCTATGACATAATTTGTCTATGACATAATTTGTCTATGACATAATTTGTCTATGACATAATTTGTCTATAGGGGTACTCTGACCTTGGACCTCCTTTCACTTCCTATAGGCTAGGAACCTAGGAGATCGTTCTATGGGGTTCTCTTACGTCGACTACAGTTACCAAGCCTGGTTAGTCATGGAAAGTCTTGGAAAATGAGAGAACTACAGGATTGCCCTTTCCTTAAGAAAGGGCAAGCAGACAATACAGTAAATCGACTATCACATACTTCCACGTCTTTTCCAAGCTTCCAAGCATTGATCTTGTTACTCCTTGTTTCTGAAAAGTCAAAGAGGTGCTAACCTCTGACTTATCCCTGAGTTCTCAGACTCAACATTTGTTACAACTTGTCTAAACCACTCCACTACATCATACACCTGATTGCTGCGTTGTGGAATAGTCTAAGCTACGACCCTTTGGCTCTGTTTCCTAAGACAGTGTGTTGTCTTAGTAAAATCATCCCTTCCTTGGGTGGCTAGATTCTCACATCTGGTGCACCCACCATTACATAGGTGGACAAACCACCGAGTAATGGTTTCCGTTATGGTGGTTCACGCTTCCAGCCAAGGTCGCAAGTGCAGTTGTAAAACTCGACTTATGGGCATGAGTGGACGTTCCTTTTGCGCAATATGAACTCGCTGGCAAAGGCTTCCGTGATATCTACAGTATCTTGCAAGCTATGGTCGTATCCATCAGTCGTGATGTTCTGATGGAGTCGGCGGTTTCGTAAGCTAGCCGAAGCGCTTGGGCAGAAAACGCTTGTTGCCTGATATGGCCCCGTTCCTACGTTGTGGCCTTAGGTGCAAATATTGTTCGTGTGTCTTTTCCCACGCCGATATTAACCACCAAGGTTCCAGTACCTAGTACCCATATTTTCGGGTAAAGCTGGTTACCGCGGTGGGGTTGCGTCAGGCGACGGAACGAAGCGTGCAAACGCCATGGGAATTACTTTATGACTTGATGCCGTAGGCATTATTTAGCCGCATCGAAGGTCGAAACATATACGTATTGAAGAACGTTGCTTGCCCGATACTTAACTATTATCGTGCCTAAGGCATTTATTCAGTCACCTCTCAATTATTATCAAGTTTTGGGTGGAGGACAAAAAACACGGACGGCTGGCTCCCCGACCGCCAAATCAAAAATGGCGGTGCCTCGCGCAATGACTGAACCATCCAACAATGCTAATGCTGCCTGTCCATCCCATTTTCGGAGAGTTGGTGGTAAATCCCCACTAGAGTATATATAAGGCGGTTCCCCATGAAAGTATCGGTTCTCCTCTGTCAACAATCGAAACTGCATTCCTCTCCCTTGGTTCTCGATCAAAAGCAAGCATACAGTCAAGGCGCAACAGCGGAGCTAGTGATACATCAGTCTCGACAGCTTACTCAATAACTTACTTTTACGCACCTCATCTGCTTTCTGTATAAGTCATCGGAACTCTGCAACGGCAAGTGTTTAAATCGAAATAATATTGCTTTAACTAACAGGATTAGCAAAGATGTGCACACATTCGTATACTGCTTATACCGTTTGCGGCTGCATTTTACCAGGTGGTTGGGTCTACTGTATGTAGCCCCAGCAATCTAGGCGACAATTGTCCGGACAAAACTGAGGACAACTACGTCAATCACACCAAATGTGGAGACTGCTCATTGGGCACCCCGGAGTCTCAGTGATATGGGAAGTGGGAATATAGTCGCCGGTGATTGGGAAAGGATATGCACACATGGCAGGTAGACTAGGACAAAATAGGCTTCCGCGACTTTCAAATATTAAAGCCACTTCTGCCCTTCAAATTCGAACTATCTTTGACATACTCATCAATTCAATTGGGATAACAACCATGGCACACCGTATTCTCATTACATGCAGATCGCATAAGGTGCCTGGTCCGGATAATGAGAAAGCTACGCTACTAGCCAACCAAGCCTGTCAGAAGGTTTGGGGTCGAGACTTCAATGAGGCTCTCGGCGACCGCATAACATTAGAGGATGAATTTACGTACGGTGTACGGTGTAACCTACTTGTTGATAATGGTCCCGTGGATAGTGAGGACTACACTACCTCATTTTTCAGATGGAGTGGAGAAGCGCTGTAAGCAGTGAAAGATACAAAGGCCCTTGGTCGTAGCTGACAGAATAGTGTCCTTACTCAATTACCAGCGTCCATCCTTAAAACGCTGGAAGAGCGGTTTCAATTCAACCCAGCCGACAGACCTCAACGCGTAAGAAACCTTCCTTCGTGTTCTTCACTAATTTTCAACTGAACTTATGTAGATCCGCTACACAGATGAGGAATACAAGAAAACATTCGGCCCCAAGATGTACGACGAACTTGTGAGGGGTAAAGCAGAGAGAAAGGAGATTTCAAGAAGATTCGATCCTCAAGCCAATTAATAAGGGCTTGTAGAATAGTATAGATCGGATTTACATGCTTTTACATGCGGTGAAGGATTATATAGCCCATCTAGCCCAAAATATCCCAAAATATACCAGGCTATATGACAAAATATATATCGTGACTTTAGCTCTTAGATAAAATAACCCATCAAAATCTCGGAATTCTGAACTAAAGCGATGAACTTCAGCTTCATGACCTCCCGATTGTTCCAACCAGTCCTTCGACGGACTGTTACTTAGAGTGGGTAGCCAGCCGAACTCGTCAACGACTTGTCCTCGAAGTATCGCTCGTGAAACCCTTCCACGTCCTAGTAGACTCACCATGTGAGCTTCTCGAGAAGCCGTTGGTCAACCTCCTCGTGCGTCCTTCGTAGCAGGGGCGGTTCGGGGCACAGTTTGCGAAGGCGAAAGTCTTTGAGACGTTGCCCAGGAATAATCTAAACCCCTTGCCGACTGAAAACTTGCCCGCCGGCGGGTATGATGCGTTCAAGCAGCGAGGGGGCCACGTAGGCTTGGCAACGCTTTCCCTGTTGCAGACCCCCCGATTACCTCATGCAGAATCGCCAACATGTATATTACTACAACAATGTCTATTCTCTGCTCTTAACTGCTTAAAATAAATAATCCAAGTAATGGCACAAGTGAGAATATCCGGGAGGTGAGGCATTGGAGGGGTGGGGACACTGGGGGGCAATAATAAATGAAAATAGACACGGAAATGATAAGTGTAGTTACTGTCCGCATACTCTAGCAAGGACTATATGTAAAATGCACAAAGGAAATGCAAACGAGATTTGGACTCCCAACGCCTCGTTGGATTCAAAATTACGCAAGTGAAAATCACATTGTCAAACAACACGTGAGACCCAGTCCGATATGTAGTGGAAATATTCAACAAGAAATGCCATTTTAATTTCTGCTGCCAAATAACCCTTTTTTGATACTCCCCAACCTAAGCCCACGTCACAGACACAGCCGGTCTATCGACACCCCATATGCGCTTAGTTTATCTCCTCAATCTTGTCGGAGGATTTTGCCTTGTCACCTCCGTCCTGCTCCTCGAGCGCGGGGAGCTCATCATCATCCTCTCCCTCATCATCCATATCTCCAAGTCCTCCCATTCCTCCTGCTCCTCCCATTGCGCCGAGCTTGGAGAAATCAATGCCGCCAAAGTCACCGCCGGCACCACCCATGCCGCCCATCATGGAGGCCATGTCCATGCCACCCATTCCTCCTCCACCCATACCGCCCATACCGCCCATACCGCCCATACCGCCCATACCGCCCATGCCTCCTATGATTTGTTAGGTGTGATGTGTGATACGACGGTCAAGATTGCTTACCTGGTGGCATGCCGCCCATTCCTCCGAGGTCCTCCTCTGGTGCCTCCTCTTGCTCATCCTCATCAACCCACTACTAATGTCAGCATCTATTCACCGCCATTGTTGCATGGAAGGCGTACCTTGTCGAAGTCAGTCTTCACGTAGTGGACCTTCTTCGAATCCTTCAGGAGTCTTGGCCAGAACTCCTCCTTGGCCTCCTTCTTCCTGAGAACCAGCTCGATGTTCTTGGAGGTGTGGTTGATCTTGCTGTTATCGACATCGATCTCGGCGAAGAGCTCAAGCTCAACGTGGTACGACTTCTTCAGGCTGTCGGACTTGCCGCTGAAGGTGAGGCCGGTGGGCTTGAGGTCAAGCTTGAGGTCTTCCTTCTTGCAGTCGGGCACGGAGATGGTGAGGTAGATGTAGTTCTTCTCTGGCTCGGTTGCGTTTGAGCGCTGGGCCCAGAGGACTGTGAATTGTTAGTGATTGCTCTTGATGTGACCTTAATCTGCGATGGGATTGTGGCACGACCGCGACCTGATAGAGGCGCATCGTCGATGTAGCCTTGAGTCTTCAACCAGCCATTGGAGGAGGTGGACTCACTCTCTGGGGTAACTGTAGTGGCAGACATTATATAATAAGTAGAATTGAAGTCAAAAATATGAGCTTCTTGTATTCAGCTTATGTGTCGTTGAGATGGAATTCAGATGCTTCGTCTGTTTGTAGAGAGACCAGAAAGTCGCTTCCGAGACGATTTGAGGTTGTGCGGCGCTTGACGCCAGACGAGGCTGAGGTGGAGAAATAAAGAAGGCCAACGAATCTTGGAGAATTGCCCACAAGGCTCCCCAAGTTTAGAAATCAGGTTACAACAACAGGTCAATTGGACATTCACAATTAAATAATTATTTATATTATCGTGTTCCGTTTATTTATTCCGTATCATGTTAGATTGTTTTCAATTTATTTACGATTTATTTAAGTCGTGCCTGTAGGACTGATTCAACTTTAATCATGACCCCACCCAGTTCGCTATTAAAAGCTACCACACGTCACTGATTGGCGATGGTTGAGCCTCAAGTGACCTCGAACACTGTCAATCAAGGCAACTCACCAAAGTCGCCGCCGCAATCATCCACACAACCGCGCATGAACAAGCTCTATCAGCAATTAGAGTGATATCTGGCGACGACCCAGCGGCCGTTCTTCACGATGGAGACCATCAGGTCTGTCTTCTTCAAGCCGGACCCGCAGGCCCAGGTAGGTACCACCCCACAATCATCGAACCAAATGACAGACTGTCTGACACCTTACAGGTCCGCAAATGCAACCAGCTCATCCGCGCGAACACCCGTAAACTCGATCGCGACATTGCGCAACTCAAGACTGTCGAGAATAAGACAAAAGACCTCATCCGCCAAGCGTCGCGGCGCGCGCAGCGCAACCCTGCACAGGCGAAGCAGGCGAGCGCCGAGACGAGGGTCTTTGCGCGGGAACTGATACGGGCGAGGAAAACTACGAGTCGGCTGATTACGAGCAAGGCACAATTGCAGAGTGTGTCGATGCAGGTATCGGAGGCCTTTGCGACAAAGAAGATCGAGGGGAGTTTACGCGCTAGCACAGGGATAATGAAGGATGTGAATCATCTTATCAGGTTACCAGAATTGATGGGCACCATGCAGGAGCTTAGCCGGGAGCTAGTGAAGGCAGGAGTCATCGAGGAGATGAGTGTGGATATGCTACCGGAGCTTAGCCTGGACGAAGAGGATGAGGAGGAGGCGGAGAGCGAAGTCGACAAGGTTCTGGGCGAGATCTTGAAGGACAAAATGGGAAAGGTTGGTGCCACGCCAGTGGAGGCGGCGCCAAACGAACCTGTAGAAGAAGAAGAGGAGGAGGAAGATGCAGAGGAGATGCTCAGCCAAATGAGAGGCCGGCTAGAAGCACTGAAGAGTTAATACTGGAACTCTGGCCGATGTTATATGTTAGAGCGGGCTTCATGGCGTTTATCTCGGAGCTGGGTGCATTTATTTCAGTTTATTTGTCTCCAGTGCTGCCTTCAAGTTCGACAGTATTACATTTTTTGTGCTGCCATATCGGATTGCGCTACCCGAAATAGCTCGACGCCGGCGAAGCCAATTTGGAGGCTAGCTGGCACCGTTCCCACATCGACCCTCTAGTGAAGCTTCTAGCGGTAGGTGAATACTCATAAGGGTGCATTTTCATATGGACGTATTTGCATATGGTCTGGAAGAGGTGTATGTATTCGTCCCTTCTTTCCTTCTTTCCTTCCTTTCCTTTTCTCTCTCTCCAAAAATTATCACATCCTCACCTTGGTTCAAACTTTTGGAAATCCTCTGCCCAGCACTCCTCCTATCATATTCTCTTGGATAGAGTAGTCACAATACTGCAAGCCTAGCTTCCAGCTTATACACCCGGCCAAGACCGACGGTTTTGTAACCATGCGTTCCAAGCTCATTGCAGCGGTGCTCGTCGCACCAGCTCTGATCGGTGCTCTTCCGGTTGCGACTCCAGATGCCAAAATCGTTCTCAACCCCGATACGTTCTCTCCTCCGCAGTTTGCTGGCCGCCCCATGCCGGCCGAACATACTTCACCCCACCACTTCGCCGACGGGGTGACCGACGAAGGCTTGAAAAGAATGATGGGGTCCCGTGACAAGAAATTAGCTACCCCCAAAGAAGAAATCATTGTTCATTCCTACCGCCCATTTGCAGATCCCACTAATGGGAAGGAGCATGGGCACTTTGAACTCTTTGAGGGTGGCCGGAAGGTCCATTCGAGAGGTTTCCGTCAGGAAGTGAGAACCGCCGACAACACGGAAAGACCCCGCCCGGATGACCATCACTTGGGCCCAAAGATTGGCACTCCCATTAATGCAAGAGCCACCGACAACACTGGAGGCCTTCCGCACCCGAATGGGCATCTTCTCCCCCCGAAGATTGGCACCCCAATTGATGCGAGAGCCATCGATAACACCGAAACCCGTCCCTATCCAGATGATCACCACCCGGGTCCAAAGACTGGCACTCCTATCAATGCGAGAGCCATCGATTATACCGAAAGTATTTCGCGCCCGAATGGACATCTCCTACCTCCGAAAATTGGCACCCCCATTGATGCGAGAGCCATCGACAACACAGACAGACCTCGCCCGAATGACCACTACTTGGGTCCTGAGATTGGCACTCCCATCAATGCGAAGCGCGAAAAGCGAAAAGAGTCTGATGGTCTAGAAATTCCAGTGGAGCTTCCTATCTCCTCGGATTATTATCCTGATGAGTTTGATGAGCTCGAGGAAATGCCACTGGACCTTCCTATTCCCTCGGATTATGATTATGAAGAGTTTGATGACCTCGAGGAAATGCCACTGGACCTTCCTATTCGGTCGGATTATGATTATGAAGAGTTTGATGACCTCGAGGAAATGCCAGTGGACCTTCCTATTCGGTCGGATTATGATTATGAAGAGTTTGATGACCTCGAGGAAATGCCAGTGGACCTTCCTATTCGGTCGGATTATGATTATGAAGAGTTTGATGACCTCGAGGAAATGCCAGTGGACCTTCCTATTCCCTCGGACTATTATCCCGAGTCTTCGGATCACGAGGATTCTAGGTATATCCCTGCAACGCCTGGTGACAGAAACAGCCGCCGTCCGGGTCGGCTTGCGGGACCTCCTTATCCTTGTGCCAGACCGCTATACTTCAATGTGACTGGCTTTAACACCACCATCAATGGAACTGCCTTTAACAACACCATCAATGGGACCATATTTAACAACACCATCAACAGGACTGCAGTAAATATCACCAGCTGCTTTGAGGAGGATACCAGCGACTTTGAGGAACCTTCCGAGGCCTGGAAGAAGCAGGTATGGGGGAGAAAGGCCAGGGAGGCAGATGCCAGAGCGAAGAATCCCCACGTTCCCGCCCTCGCCAACCCCAAAGCCAAATCCAAACCCGTTTCTAATATCGAGGAATACGCTTCGGAGCATTTCGACTACTTGAAAGATCCGTTCAAAACTCCGTCTCCCTTTGAGCAAGATAAGGCGTGGTCCGAGGATCTGTTCAAAAAGCTCGGCAAGCCGAGACACTCTCTTTACTGGGCACAACGTGGCGTTGAAGACATCGAACCCCCGAAGCGGGAGCCCGGCCACGAATGGCCCGAAACTCGCCATCCGAAGGATATTGTCGCCGAAACGGGGTTTGATCAGGGTGATGGCTGGAAGACCGACTACTGGCAGAACGGCGTCTGGGGCCAGCCAAGAGTTCCGAATGGGCGCAAGCCGTACTGGACCGCCGACGGAAATCCAGTGTATTAGGGGACAACAGATTGGATAGCAAGATATGATTTGATTTTTGAATTGTTGCGTTTTGGATTTTCATTTGGGACTTGGTTCTACACAAGGAATATTGGCACTTCAGTGCCCAGCGCTTATATTGTACTGCACAATGCTTTTGAGGTGGATCTGCGAATAAATGTTCTATGGTGGCCCTATTGAGGCTTGGAGTTTGTTTATTACTGTACTTAGTTCAATACACTATTTTGAACAAGTGATCTCGTCGTAGTATTAAAACCTCGGTGCATTTTGAGTCTCACATGCATATATTTAGAAAGAGACAAAGTATATGCGTAGTGTACAAAGAGCATTTGGCTCTCCACAAGTACATCATCATTTCATCTATGTGAATGAGCGTCAATGCTGGCCTCGCTGGCCTATCGCTTGAGAGGTTCAACAAGGCCAATGATCCATCCTATCATGACCATAATTCCTGTCGAAGCCATTAAACCCAAGACAAACCCGTCCCATAACCCACTTCTTTACACCTCGCGCAGAAAATCACTTTTAATTTGCTGACGGTTCAACCTCCTCATCTGAGCCATCGCCGGTGTCATTCGATCCTTCGTCCACCAGCCGGCTTACTGATGGGCCGCCTGCAGCCTCTATCCGATTAGCCTCTTTCCTCGCTCTTATAGCCTCGGTCTCCAGGCGCAGCTTCTCCAAGTTCCATGCGTCATCATCATCGCCTCCCTCATCCTCATCAATATCCTTATTCCAGTCACCCTTCTCGAACATAGCACGACCGGTTGCCTCCTTCTGTTCGCGTGCCTGCTGCTCTGCCTGCTTCTTGTCCATGCGCTCCGACTTCCACTTGGCGAATGATTCAGGTGTAACGGGTGTCAGCTTTCCGGTCAGCTTATGTCGTTCGCTTTCTAAGAAATCCTCGAGTGTAAGGGTCTTGAGCGGAGATTTATCCATAAGAGCCTTTTCAGCTGCGCGTTGCTCCTTGGTCTTCAATATAAATCTGAAAAATGGTTAGCTCGTGCTCAATATGTGGATTAACTTGTGTGCGTGCATACCCAGGTGGCAATTTGTGTTGGTACATGCACTTCTCTCCATTCGGGCAATTCCAGAACCAACCGTATTTGCCTTCCTCGATTGCCTCGATAAAGAACTTGCAGACCTTATCAGTCGTCGTCTTCTGGTTGCCCTTCTTCGATAAAACGACGGATTTCAGCTTCTCCTCGTCCCAATCTGCTGAAGTCTCCTCCTTCTTTGCCTTCTCTTCCTCCTCTCGCGAATCTTGATATAAATCTTTCTTCTCCGTCTTACGCTCCACAGCTAAGTCGTGCGAGAATTTGCACTTTTTTCCCTTTTCGCAATGTCCCTTCTTGTAGAACTGGCACAGAACAGTCTTGGGATCCACGCCAAATGCCACTTTCTGGACTTGCACAGGCTTGAACAACTCCATTGTCTCTTTCTGCGCCGCCAGAGAGGCAGCCTTGTCCCTCTCCGCCTGGGCTTTCTCTGCCGCCTTCTTCTTTTCTTCTGGGGTTCCGCCAGCCTTTGCAGACTGCGTCATTTGTGCGATTTGCCTTTGTGTCTGGGCTCCCTTCTTGTTTTTCATTCCGAAGGTCCTGTCCTCCACCATCTTCGTGGCCGAAGGCTTCTTGCCCCCGCCCTGCTTTTCTTGCTTCTTTGGCGGCATTTTGGCGGTGGGTTGTAGGATAAGAGGACGTAAAGCCTATGCGCTGGGGGCGATCGGATCTACGTAGGCGATACTCGTGATCCCCTTCTTATAGATTTTGAATGAGTGTGTGGTCGCGTGCGCTCTTCCCAAGTGATGTCGCCTGCTGGAAAATCATGGTCTTGAATATTAATTGGTGGGGTTGATGTTGGTGCCTGAGGCAGTAACATTATTCATACCCTGATGGCAACACTTGCGACGTACCTGGCCTCAACGAGCAGTTGCCAGCTTCCAACGAATTAAGCCGCCGCCAATTACTTGATACAAAGGAAACCCGGTGGTTAAAGTGAATATTTTATTCCCTCTAAAGAATCTAGTGCTAAATCATATGTATAGATCCCGTTCAATTCTCCTCGCCGTCACCTCCCCGGCTACAACGAGTTGCATTCCGCCCAGCATTCCTTGGTTTAGTCGCAAAGATGATCTCCGACGATGAACTATATTCGCTCGCCATCTTTCTCGGCTCTGCAGCAATGCTGATGATTGTTCTTTATCACTTTCTCGAGGCCAACTCTGTGGAAGATGTCGATGCCAAAACACGCGCCCCCGTCGCGGCAGCTGCATCCAGCTCGAAAGCCAAGTCAGCCATCCAATAGGAGGGCGATTATCGTATATGAACGGCGGCATATGGTGATGTCGTCCGGTACGATACACGACAAGAAACCATCTGCGAGCCGTGTGAGATTAGAAGCATTCTTGGGGCGGATTACCACGGCGTTAAGGCATAATTTGGGGGTTATTGAGCGTCTAGCTGTATATTTTGATAAACTACAGATTTGTAGGGGTTTGCTGGTCAAAAAGATATGGAATCCGACTTGTGAAGTTACAAAGACGCCGGCACAGTCGCCTCGAAGACCTGAGTCGAGGACCTTCCTACAAAGAGTACAACGAATCTCATGGACGGCTTCCATACATTGTACCAGTAGCTGTATTATTCAATCTTCAAGTTGTCTATGAATGAGACGCTTCGACTATTCGGTCCAAAGCAATATTATTGGTCCACGTTCTCGCAATGGTGAATGGCGATGATATGAATGGCGATGTGAGTCCCCTTTTGTGCCAGATCGGGTCTAGCTCCGTATACCCAGCGACGCGAAACTGGACAAACGCCTGCCTGCGATCCTGACCCTTCCTTCTCTTCATCCATCACAAACCACTTCAATAATACAAACAACTCCTTCTATTCTCATCGACACCGCATCAGCACTCCTTCAAGCCAAGATATTTACTGTACTTCAGCCAACTTCGAAAGTAACAGACCTTTAATTGCCACTTCTTTGCCAATCCGAGACCAACTACACTTTATAGTCGGTCAACCGGATTACTTCAAGAGTCAGCACTGCCCCATCGCTACTCGAATTCTCTCCATCTAGCGATCATCTCGCTTTTATCGTCGTTCCGACCTGACAGTACTTCCACGCCTCCAGTCTCCTTCAAAACAAGACATACCATCAAAATGGCCACCAAGCTCGATCAATCTTTGGATGAGATCATGACCAACACTGGTGCTAGCCGTGGCGGTGCTCGTGGTAGCGCCAGACGCGGAAGAGGCCAACGCCAGCCTCGCCGATCAACCGGAGCCCCTGCCCCTGTTGGAGGCATCTCCAAGAACACTCGCCCCGCAAAGGGCGCAGTTAAGGCCATCCCTACGGGTCCTGCCATTCACAGAGACAGCAAGATTGTCGTAAGCAATTTGGTAAGTTCCGTTAAGCTCCAAGCATGAAAAGTATCAGGACTAACAATCAAACAGCCAAGAGATGTAGACGAGACGCAGATTAAGGTATGTTACCGATGAGGCTGCTCAAGCCTTTGGATTTTTTCCCGAAAGTACACGCACGGTCATCGAACAAATTACGACGGTTTATCGCGAGAGCATTCATATGGTGGCATTTTATATGCTGGACCTAGTCCAATAAGACTCCTCTTGGCACGTACAGCTCGCCTTCCAGGCTTGAGCATAGTGCAAAAGAGTTGAGCATCAGTCTAGCATCAAGCTGTATCTCAGAGGTAGCCTGGCAAGCACCCAAAATACGAGTACAGTGCAGACTTTATGTGGTGGCAACATCGAAGGACTCGTGCTCAATGCACCTTTCCCGATCTGTAAATGGTTCAACTCTAGCATGAGATAAAGAACTTCAGTGAGAGATCGCAGCAGTGAGCATGCACAGCACACCACAGCACAGTATTACAAAGTTTCGGAACTCGGATTATTACCACAAGAAACAAGTCTGCTTCCGAGACAGCATTCAAGATCACTCCAAGAATTTATTCGATCCCTGGGCATGTTCCGACTGGTCACGGCCCCCGACTTGGATGCGATGATGTTGCAGTCTCGCATCTCGACAACCAAGTTATTGTCGCCACCACTTCGATACCCTGGTGGGCTCCCCTGGTGCAAATTCACGAAGAGCGACCCAAAACAACGACAGCTTGGTCACTGGTGATCGCAACCCTTCTGGCCCTTGATATACTAACTACTATACTAATGCTGGCTGCTCACTGCTTGCTGCCAACCTGCTGCTGCAAATCATCTTTTGTTCGACTTGCAGCTCATTGACTTTACCATGGATTGCCTTTCATTTCTCGATGACGACAACACGATGTCAAGCAGCGAACTTTTGGACGATTACCATATGACTAACGTTCACGTTTTACCTATTAGGAATATTTCGCCAAGTCAGTTGGATCAGTCAAGAAAGTGGATATCTCATATGGGCCCAATGGCCAGAGCCGTGGAATTGCCAACATCGTCTTCCACAAGAACGACGGAGCAAGCAAGGCCGTTGCAGCTCTCAATGGACTACTTGTGGACGGAAGGCCAATGAAGGTAAGCTTATTTCGCCACCACATACGTGGAATGTCGCTAACCCATTATACAGATTGAGGTTCTCGTTGATGCCTCCCAGGCTCCAGCTATTGTTGCTCCAAAGGGATTGGGTGATCGTATTGCGTAAGTTATCACCCTGTTAGATGGAGTATGTCCCATATACTAACATGCTGCAATAGCCAACCAAAGGTTCAGCCAAAGTCAGCTGCCGCAACCAAGGCTGGTGCAAACAACGCCGCAGCCTCTACTCGTGGCAAGGCTGGCAAGAGGGGCCGGGGAGGCCGCGCTCGCCCTGGCCGCCCTGCGAAGAAGACTGCCGAGGAGCTGGATTCTGAGATGGCCGATTATTTCGACGCAACTGCCGCACCTACGGAAGCCGCCGCACCTGCCGCTACCAACGGCGATGCTCCAATGGACGACGAGATCCTGTGAATAGCCTGATTGGCTCATTGATACACACTTGTAAAAATTCCGCAGGCGATACAGATTGACATCAGAAGACAATGCGTTTTCTTCACAAGGAGCAACTTCATCGCGAAACTGTATTTCAGCTGGTTTTCCTATCCTCGTTCCGGATTTCGCAAGGTCGCACAGCATCAAATAACGTCAAAGTCCAAAAACACTCGTCAACTGTGCCAACTGTTCTGTTGTTTTCTCTGGCTTGGACGGCACATGGAATCATCAGCGGCAACATGGGATATTCCACGACCCACCCACTTATACACCAGACTTCCTTATCAAATGTATACCAAGCTTAATAATGTCAAACTTATGGACTCAAGTCTATCCCAGTTCCATCACAAGTGATATGCGATTGTTTTGTGACCGTTATTCGTAGTGACTTGCTCGCCAATCACCCATGTAAGATAAGTACGCAACAGCCACCGAGAAGGTTAGGGCAGTGTACAAATCATACTGTTGCCTAGGTTGTTTATATAAACCGTAGATCAACAATTTAAGCTTTACAAGCACTGAGAGTAGAACGGATTTTGGACTTGGCAGACGGGTCCTGATACACAGGTCCCGGATCCAGACCAGTTTGATCCTCCACATTGTCCGTACTTTGGAATTGTTCCCCAACCCTGAGTTGGTATCGAAGCGGTGCTAGTCGACGTCTTGGTTGTGGTTGGGTTAGTCGTAGTGGTCACCGGCTTAGAGGTCGTGGGGTTGGAAGTCGTAGTGGAGGTTGTCTTTGCGGTTGTGGTCGGAGTACTGCCACCATCCCTATATATAGTATTAGAAATGTATGGACAACAAGAAGTAGAGCACAGAGAGTAAGTAGCCCTCAACTCACGGTAGCCCATAGAATATCCCTCTTCTATTGGTACCCACGAAGACCTCGCCAACTGTATCCCAGCTCGCAGCCAAGCAGTTCGCACTGGCGGCACCGAAGCCGTGCTGTGCATCATTGATCTGAGTCCACGAAACGCCCTTATCTGTGCTCAGAGCGAGAATGTTGCTTCCGGAAGTGGTTGTGGTCAGGAATGCGTAGAGGTTTGGGTAGGAGCCTGTCCCTTTTCCAAGGGCAATGGCATAACTCGCTGATACTGAAGCAATCTTGGTGAATGTCGCCCCAAAGTCGGTGGAGTGATACATGCCACTGGAAGTCGAAAACCACACGTCGCCGACTACTGCGGGGTGGACCTTGATTGAATTTGCTCCATTGTTAGAGATAGCGGCTGAAATTGCGAGTGTCAAACCGCCGTCCTTGGACACGTAGAAACTATTCCCATCCGCAGCGTAGAAATACTTAGCGTTCACTTTGTCAGACGCAATGCGCAGGTTTCCTGTTGGCAAAGTTCCAACACCTGACTGTACTCCATTCACGAAGACGTAGTTCCCAGTGGGAGTCGCCCAAAGAATTGATGAGGCATGGGCGCTGTATGCAACCTTGCCGCAGCAGAGGCTGCTTGACGAAACGGTGGCTAGGTTCCCGGTTTTACCCCCATCAGTGGACCAAAGCCATTTGATTTACGGCTGTTGAGCCATCGTTCCCAACGCGGACAATACTCAGCGGCTTCTGACCTGCGAAGTCAAGGTCTGGTGTAGTTGGATAATAAGGATTGATGAAATTGAACTCGGTGATGCTCTCGTGCCTGAAGCCGCAGATATCACCCACTCCAGACAGAAGGGGGGCTCCACCTGGGGGGCATAAGAGATTGGATAGATGTCTCCTCAAATCCATCAGCGAGTGACTTGACATGAACAGCTGGCCACTTAGTCAAGTCGAGGCCACCGAAAATCGAGAGGCCAGTGCCATAAAGCCAATGGTTGGAATCAAAGGGGTCGATCTGCAGTGATGCGATCATCCACCCGAGTGGCTTATCATAATTTATTCAAGGGGCGTTGTCGGTGTCATATGTGTAGTGGTTCACATTCCAGTCCCAGATAGTTACCCAGGACGCACCGGCATCGGTGGAACGGAACAGCTGCGCGTCTGGCCACCACAGTTATCAAATGCAACTATCAAGGTTCCAGGGTTGTTGGCATCCAGAGCTAAGCCACCGAAACCAAACACAAGGCTATTCGTAGCTTGCCACGCGGGCGTGATTCGTCCATGCTCCAGTTGAGAGGCTGTACTTGTAGACAGTCCCGTCGCCGGCGTCGTACGGGCCAGCTACGTTGCTGTAGGTAAAGTACAAGAGTTTCTCTGAAACTGAGAGCTTCACTCTGTGCGGGAAGCGTCCCGTTGGTTGGCCAGCAACTGCTTTCCATGTTGCACCAGCATCCGTGGAAACATATACGGATGTCGTCACATCTGCAGTTGCCACATAAATTGTAGATGTTGCTCCATTGAGAGTGGCAGAGGTGGTGTCGAAGACAACAGACGTTATGCCCACAATATCGCTCTGATACCCAGAGGTATCAGTTGGGTCCTCACGGAATGTACCCACTGCAGTAAAACTCGACACCTTTTAGAACGATGCACCCGAGTCGGTACTTTTGTACAAGCCGTTTTCAGTTGGAGCTCCGAAATAGACGATCTTGTTATCGTTAGGGTCCACGGCGAGAGGCTCGCCCATCCCACGACCAGGCTGGTTACCCCCAAGCTTGAATGGTAGAGCGGTTTTAACCCACGTGCTACCTTTGTCGGTACTCTTCAGGGTTGCACCGTTGTTCGGGTCCCAGCTGTTGGTGTAAGTTCCAACTGAAATATAGACCGTGTTGCGTCAACGGGTCGGCGGCTACTGCGCTGACTCCCCAGTAGTTCCTAAATTGTTAAAAATTGATCTTTGACAAGATAGTTAGAGGCATACCAGGTTGCGTCATTGGCAATATCCACGAGAGGGGTGTCCAGCTATCATCACTGTTCAGGCGATATAGTCCACCAATATCTGTCCTGGCATATGCCAATCCCTTTGTCTTTGGGCTGAAAACTATTCCAGGGGTAAAGCCTCCACCTCCTCCAATTTTGATATTGTCCCCTTCTAACGTTAGCAAATTTCTAAATAACTCGCTCGCTATTAACTAACACTTATATGCAGCAAATGCAGTGGAAACCAACGCGCTGAACGGAACAAGAAGCCGCATCTTGAATATTGGCAATAAACCCGGCGATCGAAGATCAAAGCTCACTCATTCTGCAGGAATATAGCGTTATATATATCTGCTCCCCAGGGGTTACCATACTGCTAGTGAGAGCTAACCTGGCATCCGTAAGGTTATTACACCTAAAGGCGGCTTCGACCACGAGAAGCTTGCCATCCCTCCGAGGGCGGGGAAATCCCATATATTATGCATATTAACTGAACGGCTGGGTAAATTGTAACGCTGGTTCTGGGTTGTTTGTTTGATGGAACATTTATATTAACGCATTGAAGACACCATGAAGAATCTTAGGACCAAGGATCATTTACCGTCGATCCGATGACCACCCCTGCATCGGATCTGTTTCCATATTACGTAAGTACCATTGGTAGAATCTATATGTCCTGGTCTGGAACAACGACAAGGGGACCTCATGCCTGATGTGGCATGAGGTGGGAACCGGCCGCCTTGGCATTATAGGTATCGATGTAGGGGGGTACATATTTTTATTCTGGCTACTCGAGAACAAGATGAGAGTACGGAGTACAGGATGGATATTAAGTACTCGAGGCACCTGAAAGTCTGAAACGGGACTATCTGCACTAATTGATGCTCGAATTTAAGCTGACAATAATCTACTATTTTAGCTATATTTGTAAGCAAAGTACAGTAGAGGAAATCAGATGAAGAGAAACGATTAATGTGGGTTAAGTCGTGGCGTAACGCCAAGGGTGGCCTAATGCAAAAGAGTCACTCTGCACCAAAATATGTTTGTAAAGCTACTTAAAATGAAAAACTGCAATAACTCTTTCAATAATAATCGTAGACTCTAATACTTTTGTATATGATATCTATATAGACCTACTATCCCCCCCCTGAATGATTGTAACGACCCGCTATTTTGAAGTTTGTGGAAACCCACTTATAGCGATCGGTTTAGGTAAAAATAGTGGATGGTGACAATCATTCAGGGGGGGGATAGTATAGGATACTATTAAAACTGATTTATAAATGTCTTTACTAATTAGGGAGTTATTAAAATTTCACCTAATATTTTGTATAAAAAACACCGAAATATAATAAGCTACTTATATATCGAAGGAGGCTCTATTATTCTTATTGCGGCGGATATTATAACTTCAATTTTTCTCATTTTAAGTACCTTTACATACATATTTCGGTGCAGAGTGACATTTTTGCGTTACGTCACCCTTTGCGTTACGCCACGACTTACGTTATCGGAGTGCTATATGTAACCTGTTAGGCTCTCCTAATTTCCAAGACTATAATATTCCGATATATGTGAAGTGTGATTTGCCGAAATCGGCCCACTAGAAAGTCATTTATTTACATCACGTGATATATCTCCGCAGCACGATGATGAACTGCGATAATCTTGTTTTGTATAACAGTAACAATACCATGAGTGATTAACGATACAGTAATTCCCTATAACCATGAGTGCGGTTCCAGCTCCTGGTGGGGCAAGCGGAGGAACGAACAGAGAACCTTCACATCTATCGTATGTTTTTGCTTTTGCTTCTTGCATATTTCCTGTAACTAACTTGGGCCAGATGTGAAAGGTGTCGGAGACGGAAGGTGAATTCCGCACGCCCTATGTTCACGATGACATAAAGCTTATTCTTAAAATTAGGTTAAATGTGATCGCACAAGGCCATGTAATCAATGCAAGAAAGCAGGTGCAGAATGCATCAATGCTGGTGGCGAAAAGAAACGGTAAAATCAAGTCCTGTCTCACCCATCCTGGGGGAACCAAGTAAGCTGATATGTTTTACAGTCCAATATCCCGACTCTACGTCGAGGCTCTGGAGGGCCAAATCGCTTCTCTAGAGCTCTTTATTATGAACCTCACAGCTGCTAGCTCATCGGAACGAGATGTAATGCTCGCAAATTTCAAAGAGACGTCTATGGAGCATTTGCCACCCTTACCGGCACTTGCAAAGGAGATCCCATTGGCACCACCACTCCCAAAAGGTCGTCTTATGCGACTGAAGGAAGGCAGCGCAGACCAATTCTATGGCGAGACATCTTTCTTCCAAATTAACCCCTCTGAGACAGACGATGCCGAGGCGGCCTTTAGCATCATGACTGTCACGCCTCCAGTGCAAGTCAAGCCAGAATCCCAATCACCTGAATCTCCATTAGCTATTTCGCCCGAAGGGAACATTGTCGAGCACAGTTTTGGTACGCCGTGGACGCCAATGTGCCAAAAGCTCATGGGGGTCTTCTTCGACCAACAATACTACTTCCACATGTGTTTGTATCGAGAGTACTTTTTGAGAGATTACAAGGCAGGTGGAGGCCCGTACTACTCCAATCTGCTAATGTATGCCATTTGTGCTATGGGCGCGCTGGCGAGCTCAGATGAGACCGTGAGGGACTTAAGTGCAGTTTTCTCGAACCGCGCCCAAGAATTACTATATGGCAGCGCCTTGGACAGCCCTGACCTAACCACGCTACAAGCGCTACTGCTCTTGGGACATAGAGATATTGGAAGGGGAAAGAGCTCGAGAGGGTGGGTTTTTACTGGTGAGTGGATCGCGTGATATAAGAGATTATGAGACTGACTAGATTAGGAATGGCATTTAGGCTGGCACAAGGCATGGGTTTGCACTTGGATCCCAGCCATTGGAATACTCCTCGGGATACCGACGTCGAGCGAGAAATCTCCAGAAGAGCCTACTGGGCCGCATTTATTGCTGACAAGTCAGTCTACTCGCCCCGCCGCCAACGAGCATAATTCTGACATGGATTTAGGCAACTATCGCTATACTTTGGCCGACCACCGGCCCTTTATCCGTCTGAATCTGACGTTCACAAGTCTAATCGGCTCATCTACCCTCCGGATTGGGACTCTCTACTTGATGACTACATCAAAAATAACACGACGCCTACGGAATACGAAGACGATTTGTCTTTTGTCGGTTCCTTTGTCCAGCAAGCTGAGCTGTGCAAGATTGTGCATCGCATGATTACTGAGGTCTTCCAGAACCACAACGCTAAAGCCGATGCCAGTATTCTCGCAGCCAGCGCAAAGGGCATCCACGTCGCGCTCAGCAAGTGGCTGGCGGACTTGCCCGCACGCCTGCACTGGAACCAATGGAGCCGAGGTCCCGTCGCAGCATACATTCTTAATCTCCAGTAAGTTCTCTTCCACTTTTTACCCCTATTTCTCTTGGCATTGCAGCTAATATCACGCAGCATGTTTTTCCATACCGTAATGATTATTCTCCACCGCCCTCCCCGTCACTCTTCTCTTGCCCATCTTGCTACCGTCACCGAAGATCTTGATATCTGCTCATCGTCTCTGAACTCCATTCTACAACTCATGAAGGTCTACTCGAAGCATTACTCCTACTCCGCGTTACCAGTCACATTTATCCACACGTGCGCATCAGCCGCATCAATCGTGCTCCTAAAGCGCTTCCTTTCAGCAAGCCCTCAGGGAATACCAAGGAACAAGAGAGATATCCAGGAAACAGGCACACAGTTGGAGCAAATTAGCAAGGTGATTGACTCGATTACAGAGACATGGGATTCAGCGAAACAAATTCAGAAGGCCGTATCTTCGGCAAGAGAAACAATCAGACTTGAAGATGAGGCAACCGTGGGTGCAATGGCTGAGCTGGGCGCCGGCGTAGATGTTACTCAGGGTGCCTCGGGGCTTGGTTGGGATGAGAGCATGCGCTTTGATTGGGATGACCCGAGTCTCCAAATGGGGCCAATGTCCGTTGGGGGAGAAGGAGTCAAGTGGGAGGAGCTCAGCGGGGTTGGAATGCCGGGAGAATTCACCGAGAGGCTGGGGGATTATGTCCAGGACTATGAGGCTCTTTTTGGTTTGCTTGGAGATGGAGCACAACCAGAGATCAACTTTGGCGATGTAGAGGAGGGACTGATTTAGCGAGCTAGTTGAAATGAGTACATGTAAACAAATACTTATGCCAAAGTGAGAGTGTTGTCGAAATCTGCTTTGCCTCTCACAAAGATAGAATCCACACGTGACCATAAATTGTATATCACGTGATTATATATTTGTAGTATGTGGGGCAGCTGCTAAGTGAGCGGGACAAATTTTGACTCGCTCGCTTAAGCTGACCACTGTGCCCACACAACTTTCTTCAATGTTCACGAAATCTCAATTCTCTCGATTTCTTATCCACGACTCTACGACAACCAGTTTCATCACCTCAACCGCCAAAATGACGAAGATCAACAGCTGTATGTTACAATTGGATATACTATTCGCATATATGATATGCGCTTTAGAATGATGAAAACAGACTGACCAGACCTCAGCCCTCCACTCCTCCCGCAGGAAGTCGCGCAAGTCGCACTTCAGCGCCCCATCCAGTGTTCGCCGCACTATCATGAGCGCCCCTCTCAGCAAGGAGCTCCGTGAGAAGTACAACGTAAGTATATGGTGCCAGCCAGCACCAGAATCTATCTAACAGTGTCAGGTTCGCTCGATCCCAATCCGCAAGGATGACGAGGTCACCATCGTTCGTGGCTCCAACAAGGGTCGTGAGGGAAAGATCACCACCGTCTACCGTCTCAAGTACATCGTTCACGTCGAGCGTGTTGTCCGCGAGAAGTCCTCTGGACAATCCGTCCCGCTCGGCATCCACCCCTCCAAGGTTGTCATCACCAAGCTCAAGCTTGACAAGGACCGTGAGGCCATCCTGGAGCGCATCAAGACCGGTCGCGAGATCAAGGAGAAGCTCAAGTCCAAGTCGGAATAAATACTGGACTCGATTATAAAACAATAAAGGCAACGTGAAACTCTGGTTATATCGGAGCTTGGGAAATGGTGTTACGGGCATACTATATCGGGCTGATTCAGCAATTTTGCGGCAGCAAATCGCCGGCAATGCGTTAGGCATGGGCTTTGGCGCAATTCAATCGATCAATAATATGGCCGTTTCACATCCACCGTGCTTGCACGTCTGGTTCATACTGTGAAATGCTCCATGGGAGTTATCCCGAAGTTGGCTCCGCGTTCAGCGCTGCTCGTCTGCTTCTTTCCATTGGCCCATCTGGTTAATTCTTCCCTTCCCCAATTTCTCTTATTCCTTCCCACCTCCCAGTTTTTCTCTCTCCTTCTACTATCATTTCCATCCCTCACTGGCACTTTTGGCCTTGGCCCCTTGGTCCGCAAGTCTATCTACCTGTGGATAGGGTTGCAGGCTGCCCCTTCCACGCCCAGTTATAACCGCGATTTCTTCCCCAACAGATTTCGCGGTAAAAAAGTGGCGCAGAGTAACCCCTGTAGAGTGTTATTTCTTCATTGAAGTCCGCGCTATATCCTGCCTGCAGACTGCCCTCTAGACACAACGTCTGTTAGGAGCGTCGGTTTGATGGTGTGAGACAGTAATCGTATGTCAACCTCTGAAGTAGTATTGAGAGCACTAACTTGTAGATATGATGAATTGATGTATTAGATCGCTACTTTGTTATAAATAAAACTACAAAACTATCAGGCACTCATTCATTCCCTCTCTGCCCTACTCGTTAGTCTCTGATTACCACTTCTCAATGAATGGTCGAATATCGATTTCCTGCGACCATGCGCTTCGTGGTTGGGTGTGAAGCCAATAGTAGGCATCCGCGATTGCGTCCGGCGCAATTGCACCATCCTCTTCTCCTCCATTAACCTTCCACCCGGACTCCTTAAGCTTAGGCGTATCAATGGCACCGTCGATAATCGCATGTGCTACATGCACACCCTTGGGTCCAAACTCTCTAGCAAGTGACTGCGTGGTGGCACGCAGGGCGAACTTTCCCGAGGCGAAGGAGGCGCACTGGGCAGAGCCCTTGAGCGAGGCCGTGGCGCCGGTAACCAGCAAGCTCGGCGGGTTCGGGATAGCCTGTGAGAGCGCCGCAGTCTCGAGGAGGAGCGGCAGGATACCGTGCGCGAAGTTGAAAAAGCCTCTGCCACTGGCCTCAAAGCCTGCAGAGTACTCCTCCTCAGTCAATTCTAGGAAGGGCTTGCGGACGAATTTGCCGCCGACATTGTAGACTGCGGCTGCGAGGTTCTTGTTGGCGGTCTCAGCGGCGATGACCTTGAGTGCTGAGGAGACGGAAGAGGCGGATGATACGTCAGTGCTGATGCCTACTGCATTGCGGCCGCTAGCTTTGATCTCCTTGACGATTGCGTCGTAGGACTCGGAGGAGCGAGCGAGGAGGAAGACAGTAGGGTAGGCAGCGGAGAACTTGAGCGCGAGGGAGCGTCCTAGTTGTTTGCTTGAGTGTTTAACTGGCAGATGGGAAGGATTACAGACCTGTGCCGCCACCAACACCCGCGATGATAGCATATAAGTTAGAGGCTGCCATTTTGTGAAATTAAGTATGAATAACTTATCACTGAGAACTTTTGATGGTAAGACGCGTTTGATCTAACAAAGCAGCACAAGCTTGCAGGTGGGAGATATGTGTATCAACGTAGGTCCTCCCGGTTTATATACAAGTTATAAGCGCATCATTGATTATCAATAAATGTAGCATCAATATTAAGTATCTATGGTGTCATAGCGAATGGCTAGCTTATTTGTCGTCGGGACTTGGGGTTTGGCGGGGTGCAGCTTAATAATGCGGGGTATGTTTAGTAATCAATCCTAAATTGTCCGTACATTGCATAAGGAAACTCTTGTTGAGCTCCATTACTCCATCTACACTTCTTCTCTGAAACAAGCTCTTCCTTGGCCCCTTGATAGATACACTGAGGTATGTTTTTCACCATGTCTCTTATTAACTCCACTGGCGCATTCGTATCTTTTGCCCCATGCCAGATTATGACCAGATTGTGTCGCATATTCTCAAGTGAGAAGCCCCAATCATCCGAGCTAAGTAGTCTGGCCTCTTCAACCGCCGCTTTGCCGCCCTGGGCAAAGGGCTCCTCTAGCAAAGCGTTTACCAGTTCGAGTCTACGCTCTGCTGTTGTTTTCTTGGGTATATCATGGTCGAAGTTTTGTTCGCATCCTGATGGCCGTCCTCCTTATTTGTGTCTTCTTGTTCCAACCAGGGATCAATCCGCCTCGACACTGGCCCCGAATGCACCACCCACGTCGAAACGCGCACCAGGACATCGAGTATTCTGAGACGGCCAGTATATCGCCATCGTTCGGGCCACCCGTCTGTATATCGAGTTGTATGTGCACCAGCAACCTACGGAGGTCCGCTCGCAAAAAGTCCAACGCTGGTAAGCATTCCCTGCGGCAATCCATATGCGCATGCCAATTCATACGCCCGAGGCTCCAAGCACTGCAAAGCGTGATAGCTGCATACTCTTTGCGAAAGCCGAGGCGTCGGCAGGCCAATCCGCGATGCTTCGTTTGGGCTGCGGTGTGGACAAACCGAAGCCGGGTCGGTCCAGTGCTAATAAGCGGGTGTGCTGCCTTCGGGCTATGTCGTCGATTGCGTAGGCTCCGAGGCGGCATGATGGGTAGCCGTGGAAATAGAGAAGTGGTGTCCCATTGCGGTCGCCATACTCAGTGTAGCCTAGCTGGCGGCCATCTGGCAGAGTGAAGGTTTGGTTTTGACGAGCGTAAGTTGACATTGGCGAGCGGAAGGAGATTTTTTTAATATTTCTTGTCGTGTATTGAAAGGCCATGCTCAATATAAATGTAGTTGGTGCAACTTTGGCGGCATGTGTGAAGAACGAAGGCAGGTGCTTTATATGGCATCATGTTTGATTGCACCGCCATAATACAGTTCATAATACAGTCTAGCCCCGTGTGTCGCCTTGAGTCCTTAAGACGGTCCTATGACTCGACAGTAATACTAACATTGCTAAATCACTTATTTCATCCATCAACTACAATAATTTAAATTGTGAGAAAGCTGTAAGCGGGCAGTGATTGGCTAGAACGGGTACAATCCTTCGCAAGCTCGTATCTCGTAATCCCGTAACCTCGTGCAACACAATTCTCTTCTCAACATGAACATCCATCACTATGTCAACCCGTCGCCAGCATGCGAAGTCACGCAAAGGGTGTATAACATGCAAGGCTCGTCATGTCAGGTGTGATGAGACCGGTCCTCCTTGTGGGCGTTGTAAAATCCGCGGAGATATCTGCGAGTATGCTGGCCCGCGATCAACTGAGGACGCTGCCGCTTCAACCTCTGTGAGCCAGGAACCAGTGGCGTCTATCTCAGCGAGACCTCGCGAGGTAATTTTCCCGGCCAGCAGGCATCTACTAGAGTTGCAGCTCATGCACCGATGGACTGCCTCAACATACAAATGCTGCTGCATGATCGGCTCTGAGGACGATGAGGTCTGGCAGTCCTGGGTGCCACAACTCGCCATGAAGCATGATTACCACTTATACGGGCTCTTGTCTCTCACCGCATTCGAAATTGCGAGATTGGCGCAGACGCCAAATCGCCAGCAATATATTGAATCGGCGACTGAATATCACGGACTCGCGCTGAGCAGCTTCCGTGTTCAAATATCCTCTTCTGTCATCGACGACGACAACATCGACGCTGTGGTTTGCATGTCACTAATGCTTTTAGTTCTAGCATTCGCGTCAGCACAAACCAGATGACATCCCGGCCTTCATTTTGTCCCTTAGTTGACAGCTTGAGAATAATATTATGATGCCTTTTTTGACTAAAAGCAAAAGAAGTATATGCATCCACAACCCATTCCTTACGATCCAGAGCCCAAGATGTAAAATTCATGATGTTATTTCGTTGACCGGGTAAGGCTGGCGACGGCCTCGCGGTCGGTCGACCTGATGGCAGCCAATCAGACGCGCTAACAGACCAGAATATGCACGAGCCTCCCAACCACACCAGGAGCACAGGCGACGAGGCTCATCCCATCCAAGACGGGGATTGTATAGTTGTAAAGGGTCGAAACGTGCCCAACACCCTTCAAAGTCTGTCACTATTAATGAGAGTGCATGATGCGTCCGTATATTTGATGCTTGTAGTGACAAATGTGGTGCGTCTTCTCCTAACCGGGGAAGCCAACAGTAAGTTATGCTCGGCATCGCGAAGCTCCCCATATCTATGGTTGCGCCCACAGCGTGAAGATTATCTGACGCGCATTAGGTGACCCATATGACGAACAATAATTATAACTACGGCGGCAACTACCCTCCTGTCAATAACCGGGCGCCTACTTCCCAGCAAAGCTTCGCGACTTCCAGTGCAACAGCTGGGGATCCATACTATGGCGCACAGTCGTCCGCGACGCCAACGCGAACGTACCCAAATAATGATTACCAGTATCAGCAATACCCACAACAGGCCAGCGCGAATAATGGCGGCGGGTATAATTGGGGTGTTTATTCTGGGGGGAAGGCGACTGCGGCCACTGGCATGGATAGTTTAAGCAATCCCAGTGTCCCGGAACAAACCCTTAACACTACGACCAAGTCAAACTCGCACAATACCTATGATACAAGCGGCCTGGGAAATCTAGCCTACGCTTCAGGTCTCAATTATAACTCTGCTGCGGCAACGGCGCAGAATATGGCGAGATATTCTGGGGCGAGTGTGTACCACAACACCCCCTCACAAGTCAACGATCGTCCAAGGCAAGATAGCACCAACGCAAGGGCTTCACAGGCTACTGGAACCCACTCGCAGATACATGCCCCTGAGCTAAATGCCGGGATGAAAAACGGGGCTGCATATAATCTCCCAACGCCGTCGCCTGCGTATCCTCAGTCTCTGATAAACTCATATCCTCAACGCTCTACCAATACGACGATGCCTAGTGGAGGAACCCCTGTCACTTCGATAGCCCCGCATACAATGGAACCGTCTTCTCGAAACATGCAACAAAGCCAGTATGCACCGTTTACCCCATCGCAACCTCAAAAGCTAGCGGCAGCGAGAGCTTTTAAGCAGGAGCAAAGCCGCCAGAAGTCGACCCCCCCTGCGGCACCCGTAGCCAGGAGAACTGTGAATACAAGTTCAAATGCATATATTAACCAACCGCGCTCGCAGGCCGCTCGCGGCCCTAATAACCAGAGTGGGAGGGCAATCCAAACCAGCCCCCCGCCAGCCGCCACTTTGCCTCCTGCTAAGATGTCTACGAATGTGATCCGTAGAATAGGCGATGGACAAACGCCTACTACACAAAATATTAATAGCCAACCAAACCAATATCAGTCTGCGCCTACGTCCCAGCTGCCACCAACGTCCACCTATCTCCCGCTGCCCAAGCAGGTGTCAACTGCTCGCAACCAACAGCTTCCACAGCCACAGAGACGGCCATCACCTGACAGACCTACCACTGTAGACCCAAGCCATGTTTATAATAGTTACCATGAGTATCAGAAACAAATAGAAGCCGCAGAAGCGGAAGCAGCGAGACTCGCCAAACTAAAAGAGATGGCGGCCGCAGAAGAACAACGACGGCAAGAGGCTTTGAGGGCCCAGCAGCAAAAGGAAAGAGCAGATATGGCAGGGGCCGCGGTCCAAGCAGCAATGACCCTCGCCCATACGATATCTGCCAATAATGCAGCAGAGCCGGAATCTGAGTCTGAAGAGAGCGAGGAGGACGACCAAGGACAAGATTCTAACAATGTTGACGACGTTAATGAAGATGAGCAGCAGGTTACTACATCGTCTATTTCTGAGAACATATCTCACCCTGTGTCTGCGGCACTAGTCAATTCGAAGGGGAAAGCTCCGGCCCCATCCGTACCAGTGCAAATGACAGGGCCGCAGGAACCGCCCAAAGACGATACTGCAGTGACAATGGAGGAAGAGATGCGAAGGATGGTTCAAATACTACGAGACTACCAGTCAAAAGATCCCAAGCTATTCCTCCAGGTATGGTCCCCAGTGAGGAAAACTGGCGCCGGTCAATCACCTCAGCCACAAGCAGAAGGATCCCAGACCCAAGGCAGCCCAGTGACACAACCGGCTGAAGCGACACTACAAAGTCCAACTCCAAGCACTTATCAGCCAGCACCAGCACCTAAAGCTACTGCGGCTATTACAGCACCAATGCCTGCACCTGCACCATCTCCCGCATCAAAGGGCAGAAAGGTAACGCTGCAAAGCCCGGGTAGTTCGGAGTCGCCATCAACACAGGCTAAGCCCGTGACTAAAGAAGCTATCAATACTAGGAGGAGGGCAAAGCGGCCTAGAAGGTCAAGGGCCACGCTAGCTGAGCGCGCAGCCGCTGAACTTGCGGAGGCTGAGGCTAAGGTGGCGGCTGCGACCGCGGCGGCTTCTACCACGATACCTGCTGCACAAGAGCCTGCACTGGTGACACCTGGCAAGCTGGATGTGGTTGGATCCCAAGGGAATAATAAACCTACTACGAATACCCCTGGAGTAGCATCCATTTCCCAACCACCCCAGAGGGCTTCCTCTAGTACAGCAACGCCAGTCGTTGTCAGTAATGCGGCGGCTAACACAAAGCCAGTCAACGGCACCCAACAAACACCGGCTGCGGCATCACAAGTCACAGGTCGTGCTCAACGTCCAAGCCCTGCTGCAATTCTGCCACCATCTCAGCAAAGTTCGACATGGCCTACAGATAAGAGAGACGCCATCGCAATAACAGCCGCAAGTGTCCTCAATGAGATCCCAGAGAATGCCGGGAAGAAAATCTTGGCGCGACAAATCCGGGACATGTTGGAAGGCAACCCAAGTTATCTTGAGTTGTGTGAAATGATTGAGAAACTAGGGTTCAAAATGGATAGAGCGCGGTTTGCCAAAACTTTACTTGCTATCTTACCTCGCGGTTCCAAGCCTAGGCCTCAACCACCCCGTCCTGCGGCCGTTACCCCAACATTATGGCAAACGGCCTCTGTTCCCTCTGCACCTCAAGCACAGGTGTCCCAGCAGAATACACCACAACCAATACCACCTGCGGCAGGGGCAGCAGCAGGGCAGGCTGCGATAATACCTCCATTGACACCTGGGACCACACAGGCTCCACCACATGCCTGCCAGACGCCGGGTTCTGGGACTCCTAATAATGGGAAGGAGCGTCGCCCAGTGGATAGGCCGCGAAAAGACGGGCTGCCTCCGATGTCTCCATTTAGTGGTTCGAGGGCGGGTCGTAGACCAGGCAGGCCACAGAAAGACGGGCAGCCTGCGGGGTCTCCATATGCTATGACTACAACAGCGGCTGATACGTCTAAATCAGTAGCCACAGATTCGCCAAATGCACCGGCCCAAGCCCCCATGCCTACATCAGTAACCACTACTTCGCCAAATGCACCAGATCTACACCCTCCGCCTGCGCCAACAACCATAGCTTCGCCGAATGCATCGACAACAACAGCCCCGCCAACTGCGACAGAACAGCCGAAAGCACCGCCTGCATCGCAGGGCCTAGGACACTCAGCTCCATTGGCTACCGAAGAGATACACCACATGTCGCTCCTACAGGCTTATGTGGGCAAACCCTGGCGAGTATCAAAACCAGACTCGGGAGGAGCTCGTAGTACTTATTCGTCGCCATACCAGAACGATGTTCCTCCTCCTCCAAAAGGTGGTTGGAAGACGTGGCGAGACTCAACAACAACAACAACAACGCCAACACATCATTATCCCCCTCGTCACAGTTATTCTAACCCAATACCTCACCCGCCTCATCACAATATTTCCAACCCACCTCAGTATGGACCACCTCAGCATGACCCATTCCTACCATTGGCATATCCCTACCACCACCACGGAAAGCAGCTGCCACAAAATGTGTATGCTGCACCTCAGCCGGCGTGGGCACCGGCGCCGGTTGTTCCTGCAGCTCCTTTAACAAAGGAGGCACAAGCAAGGAAAAGAACCTTTGCTGAGATTATTGATCTCACAAAGGGTGAATCCTCGGACGAAGGGGAGGAGCACAATGAGAAGAGGCAACGCGTCGATGCCACTGCCGGCGATCGGATCAATAATTTGTCCGCTGGGCACGGGCCAATAACAGGAGAGGTTCCAACGCGACCAACACAACCTAAACCCCTCCCTTTTCAACATCACCATCAACCTCACACAAATACACCTCCTCACAACAATGCCACGAACATAACCGTCAATCCTCAAGTTCAAATCACTAGAAACCCACTTCTAGAATACGACGGAATCGTAAAGAGCATTGATCGTTCCTTTGCTCTGCGCAAATCGCGGTACGACCCAAAGACCATCGCACGTGACATTCTCATTTCCACCGGCAGGCATCCTACACAAAGAAGCCTGAACGGGCATCTCAAGCAACTGAAAGAAAGATTCACAAAAGTTGATAACACCTCCGATCTCAGCACCTTCCGCTGGGACATCGTCGACCCAGGCGGTGCAGAAGTGGGATCAGCAAACATGCTTCCCTACGGTCCTAACAAACCCGTCCCTTACCCCCTCCATCTCACCGAAGGTACGCACAAGAATTACGGTCCTAGCCGCCCAAGCGGCCTCCGCAATGAGACTTCCCAAGCAAACTTCGCTATGGTAATCTCAGACGACCCTAACGGCGATGACGAAGAAATGGACGAGATCGACGAGATCGCTGCCGAACCCGCCGCCCCCGCCCCCAAGCGCCGACGCCGCCCTCCCCGCGACCCTAACGCCGTCAAGCCCACGCCTGCAAAGCGCGTCCTGACTCGCACCCGCAGAACCCCTGGCGGCCCCGCCGCAGCTGCTGCCGACGACGAAGAGCTTGAGGTCCCGCCTACTAAGCGCCGTGGCCGCGGTCCCGGGAAGGCTAAAACTCCGGAGATTCCGTACTCTTGTCTCGGACAACCGACCTACATTCCCTTTCTGTGCGAGTGGCGCGGCTGCAAGGCTGAGTTGATGAATCTTGAGACGTTGAGGAAGCATGTTTATATTGTCCATGGGAAGGCGACTAAGGTTGCGGAGTTCGTGGCCAAGCCCTGCTTGTGGGGGAAGTGTGGGAAGAAATCCCAGTCGCGTGATGGGGATGGAGATGAGGAGATGGGTGGTGTAGTACAGGAGGAGGTGTTTAGTGATGAAGAGGCGTTTAAGGCTCATATGGAGAAAGCGCATATTGTGCCTATGGCGTGGCATATGGGTGATGGACCGCGTGGTACCACTACTGGTATGTTCTGTTTATTTCTTCTATCTTTTTTTTTCTCTACGCTTTCTTTGTTTCCCCTCGTTGTTTACTCCCCAGCGTACCCCCTACACCTCACGTGACCACCAGTAACTAACAAAGCAAAACAGACGGCAACGAATCCGACCACACCTCCTACCTCAACTCCCCCATCAGCGGCCGCCCCATCACCCCCTCCATCGCCAACCAAGGCGTCGTTACTACCATCCGTCGTCGCCGTGGACGCGCACCAGCGAGTAGAAAGGCCTGGTCGCAGTGGGAGTACTGGTGTGGACCTAAATACGTGTTGAAGTCTGCGCAACGCCAGGGAGGGTTTAAGAGTACGTATGCGCAGGGGGTGTGGAAGGGGGGGGGAAGGAGCTGGAGAGGGAGTATGGGGGGGAGATGAGGAGTGCAGCCAGAGCTAAGGCGGGAGTGGTTGTTTATTCCAGGGAGATGCCACAGGAGATGAGGGAGGCGTTGGGGGTGGAGGTTTAGTGGGTGGTGAAGGGATCCGAAGGAGTGGTTGGATCAACGGCGGAAGGATGGAGAGCTGGCGGGTAAAGACTGTTTTATCTGTGTGAGACGTTGTTTGTTTTCATCATACCCTCGATTTTTCAATGGTACTTCGTCAACTGGGGGGGGGGCTCGAGCTTGAGCTTGCATGCATTTGCTTTGCACGTTATATGGCGTTTGGGAACGGAGAGGGGGGTTACATGGGGTTGATGGGGGATGGATGGATGGATGGATGGATGGATGGATGGGTTACATGGGTTGATGGGGATGGATGGATGGATGGGGGAGATTATATGGGATTGATGAGGGATGGACGGATGGATGGATGGATGGGGGAGATTATATGGGATTGATGAGAGATGGACGGATGGATGGATGGGGGATTGTACTAAAGAGACTGGTTCTAATGCCCTTGAAGGTAGATAGGTAGTCGAGAAATTCAAACCGATGATACGAACTACAATTGCAGATGAACAGACAAGCATTTTAAAAAGTCTAATGCATGCAAAGATAAAACCCAGTCTGTTTTTTATTCACCCCATTTCATCTCTGAGTCCCCATCCCCCTTGCACATTTCCTTGGCAAAAACAAGAAACCATAATAACCCTATCCTAGGTGAGCATGATAAAAAAAAGAAAATATAAAAAATAATGTTTAACGGGATTCGAAATAGGCTTTTAAAAGCATCTCCCCCCCCCCCCTCCACGACATCCACGCACCCAAATTACCCCTACTGCGCCGCCTTCCCCATCCCCTCCACAACCCCATTCGCAACCTTCGGCCACACCACCGCTTTCTCCAACGCCTGCAGCACATCGGCCCTCAAATCCTCCCCATCCTCAACCCCACAACTAATCCTAACAAGATCATCAAACACGCCCACCGCCTCCCTCTGCTCCTGCGGGATGCCAGAATGCGTCATGCTGCTCGGCACCTCGACGAGGGACTCAACTCCACCTAGCGATTCGGCGAGCACGAAGAGGGAGGAGGCTTGGCAGAATTTCTCGGCCGCGGAGGCGCCGCCTTTGATGCGGAAGGAGAGCATACCGCCGCCCATGCCGCTGCGATGTTGCCGCAGGGCGATGGCGCGGTGGGGGTGGGTGTCTAGACCGGGGTAGTTTACGGCGATGACGTGGGGGGAGGAGGTTAGGGCTTCTGCGACGAGTTGGGCGTTTGTGGATGCCTCGCGGGCGCGGAGGTGGAGGGTCTTGAGACCGCGATGTGCGAGCCAGCAGTCGAACGCCGACGGAATCGCTCCAATCGCATTCTGCAAAAACCCCAACCGCTCCCTCATCTCATCCGAGTTAAACGCCGCAACCCCCATCACCACATCCGAATGCCCATTAATATACTTCGTCACCGAGTGCACCACGATGTCCGCGCCGTGGTCGAGCGGGTTCTGCACGTAGGGCGAGAGGAATGTGTTGTCCACCACGACCATGATGCCGTGCTCATGGGCTTTGGCGGTCACGGCGCGGATGTCGACGAGGCGTAATGTCGGGTTCGAGGGGGTTTCGATCCAAACTAGTTTTGTGTCGGGGGTGATGTGGGCGGCGATGTCGACGGCGATTTCGGGGGTGAAGGTTACGGAGACGCCGTGCGCTTGGGCGACTTGGGTAAAGTAGCGGTGCGTGCCACCGTAGACGTCTGAGACGGAAATAACATGGCTTCCGGCTGCGAGACTCTGCAGGATAACCGCAGTAGTAGCAGACCCCGAGGAGAAAGCTAAAGCGTATTTCGCGTGCTCGAGCGCCGCGACGGCAGTCTCGAAGTTATGACGATTCGGGTTCGAGGAGCGCGAGTACTCGTACGCGCCCACTGGCACGCCGACGGCCGTCTGCGCGAAGGTGGTGGAGAGGGAGATGGGGGCGATGACGGCGCCGGTGACGGGGTCGTGGGGGGAGCCGGCGTGGACGGCCAGGGTGCCGAAGCGGTGGACGGGGGAGGAGGGGCGGGGGGGGTGGCGATGGGGTGGTCGTGGTCGCATTTGATGGCGGCGAGGGCGGGGGGGGTGGGTTCGCAGGGGATGGTCATTTTGGCGGTTGGGGGTGAGGTGTGGTGAGGTGGAGGGTGAGGACTCTCACTTTGGGTGGTGTGAGGGGTGTGAGGTTGTCTGAGAAGGAGGATTGAAGATCAAAGTCGAGGTCAACGGGAGGAGGAAGAGGTGAATGTGTAGAAGGAAGAAAGGAGAAGCCGTCGAGGGAGGTTGACACTGATATATAATATAGGTGTCTTGTGAAAAGTCAGTGAGTGGTGGTGGTTGGTGGTTTGTAGTGGTGAGTTACGTTTACGGCAGGTAGGTAAGGGAAGGTACTTAGCTAGTAGTGTGAGAATGTACGGAAGTGGAAGTATTAGCAATCTATGCCTTGATCTAAAGGCATCAAAAATGGATCTGCTGCTCCATACACGGCCTGCGTACAAGAGATCTGAAGATGTGCTTACATAATCAATCGGCCCACCCTTCTACATCCACACCCCACAGATCTGAAGATGTGCTTACATAATCAATCAGCCCACCCTTCTACATCCACCCCCCACGCGCTCCCAACAGCAACCACTAACCTTACATAACCATCCACGCCTTAAAATCCAGGTCATGGTCCCATCACCCCCCAATCTTCCCCCCTACCCAACCCGCCACTACTGCACCATCTTCCACGCCGCGTGTGCGATTCGCCAACCACGTACGGTTCCTTCGTCGTGAAGTTGAAGGTCGGTCTTTGCACAGCCCTACAACGTACCTGCTTTGGCAGCTTCCTCTCTCTTCCTCCTCCATCTCTCTTTCTCTCTCTCCCTCCTTTTGTCTTCCATTCTCAGATTCGATTCTCTTTTGAAAGGCAGCCGGGAGAGTGATATGCACATGCGCCAAGGGACGATGCAGAGCGGTAGGACTCCTCGACGAGATCATTGCCGCGAACATCCTTAGGAGGCTTTGAGCTGCTGGGAGAGAGCTAGCAAGCAGTACAGCACAACAGCAAGGGAAAGAAGGAGCAAGAGCTCGAATTGGCGAATAAGGGGATATAAACGAAACCACAGAGAGCCATGCCGCCTCGGCGCTCGCATAAGAAGTCGAGGGCAGGCTGCCAACGGTGCAAGTTAAGAAAAGTCAAGGTTCGTCTCCTCTCTAGCTTTCTCCAATTTCCAATTCCTCTCCTCCAATCCCCCAATCCTCCAATCCGCCCCCACCTCCCCTGTCCCAACCCCAATCCCCCCACCCCCCCCTCACACAGACACAACAACTAACAACCCCCCCCCCCAGTGCGACGAAGCCCACCCCATCTGCGGGAACTGCACCAAACACGGCGTCCCCTGCGACTTCGACGACCCCTCCGCCCTCTCACCCCCCAGCTCGCTGGTGCGGTACACCACTCCCTCCTCCTCCACGCCCAAACCCTCGCCCTCCACAACCCACCATCCATTTCCCCCCTCCCCATCCCTCCCCTTTCATCTCGACCCCCCATTACCCTCCACAACACTCTCGCCCTACTCCCCCACCTCCCGCGCTACGGAATTGAGGCTGCTGCATACATACACCACCGTCACGGCCCCGACGCTGGCATGGGGGGACACACCACCCGCAGCGCTGGCGTGGCAGCTTGCGGTCCCGAATCTGGCGTTTAATACACCCTGCCTCATGGATGCGCTGCTCGCTATCGCAGCGCTGCACCTGCGTGCTCTCACACCCTCTGATCCGAGTTTACCGCGGCTGTTCCACGCATACATGGCCTCTGCGCTGAGTTCCTACACAGCAACACTTCACTCGGGGGTGACTGCGGAAAACGCGCCAGCGTTATTCGCAACAGCAGCGTTGATAGCATTCCAAGCCTCCGCCTCGCGACGCTTCCTCAACGAGCCCGGGAGCGAGGCTGAACCGTATTCCTTACCCACACAATGGTTCCACGCCTTCCAAGGCGTAAAAACCGTCGTCATCGCCGCCTGGCCCTTCCTCCGCTCGTCAGATATCCGACCCATCATCTCCGCACAACCCGCTCTCGCACTCGATCTGCACCCCTCGCGGCCCGCCTTCTTCGACGACCTCCTAGTCGGGCTAGATGAGCAACTCCTGGGCCTAGAAGAGGGGGAGATGGAGGAGACCAGAAGGGCGTATGAGCATTCAGTAGCGTATCTGAACTGGGCTCACGCCCGCCCCGAAAAAGCCCGCATCGTCGGCTTCCCCGCCACCGTCTCCCGTCGGTTCATTGAGCTCGTCGACCGCGCCGACTCGCGGGCATTAGCCGTGATCGCGTCTTTCTTCGCCATGACCCGCGCCGTGGACGGGGCGTGGTGGCTCTCCGGCGTGGCACGCAAAGAAGTTCGCGGGATCCTGGGATTGCTGGGGGAGGAGTGGAGGGGGAGGCTGGGGTGGGCGGTTAGGGTTGCGGAGTGGGAGGGGGAGGTGGGGGAGGATGTTTGGGGTGGGGGGTGGGGAGAAGGGGAGGGGTTGGATGGGGGGAGTGGGGGGTGGGGGGATGTTAGTGAGCATATTGAGTTTGTACTTACGAAGGGGGGGGGATGGTGGAGGGGGAGGCGTATGAGGGGGTGGAGTATGGGGTTGCTCTTGATTAGGTGGTGTGGGGGTTTGTTGGGGGTGATTCATTTTGGGAGATTCATTGCGGAGGAGTTTCTGGGAGGGGCAAAGGGTATAGTTGCTGGGATTTCTTGGAGAGGGCATGGGTGGTTAATATGCATGTATACGTAAATAATACCTACAAAGAGCATGTATCAGATACCGATACCGTCACACAAAGAAAGACGTATAAATATTCTACATATCCTTTTATTCTTGAACTATTATTTACAGCTAATGCCGCTGTCGGCTCCCGTGCACCTTAAACCGCCCATCGGCCACCGTGCGGCGTTGTTTTCCTAGCAAACACCGAAATTCCCAACAATGCACCTCCAAAGCCGATGCGCGGATAAACACCGCACAGACACTTAGGAATGGGGACTCCCCCAGCAAACCCGGAAAGCAAGAAACATGTGAAAAGGTATAAAAAAGCAAAAATCGCAATGTGAGAAACCGTGGTTAAATCCCAGTGAAGGCCGTGACTGAAACACCCCCACAAGAGGAGAAACATTCGACGATGAGGAAAGACAAGTGAGTCGCCCATGCGTGAAAGAGGGTCTGTGAGTGTGCAAGCGCACTTTGCGTAGGAAGAAAAAGAACGGAAATACCCGCTCCCAGCGGCCCCTCCAACACGACACTACCCGTCCCCACCCCCAACACCCCCGCCACCCGCAAAGAGCCACTAGCCCTCCATCGGCTCATCCAACATCCCCTTCTCATGCAGGTACTTAATACTCTTCAACACCATCAACTCATCCTTCTCGCGATCATTCTGCGTCAGCCTCTGCGCCAACGTCATAACCCCCCCATTCATCTCCTTCTCCCTAATCGCGGCATCGCGCACAGCCTGATCGTGCACGAAGCGGCACTTGCCTTTCTTCCCGCACGTGCCGCCGGTGGAGAAGTACTTGCAGTGGCGCTGGAGGATTGGTTTTTTGGGCGCGGGCACGACGATGGGGGCGGTGCGCTTGGAGGTCGTGGTGTCGGGGCCGGAGTCGCTGTCGCTGGCGCTGGTGTACTCGGAGTCTGAGTCGGAAGAGGAGGAGGAAGCGGCGCCGGTGGCGGAGGCGATGAGGGCGTCGATATCGTTATCGTTCTCGGACTTGCCGCGCGCCGCGGCGGCAGTGCCGTCATCCATGTCCTCGTCGCCCGAGTCGCCCGCCTCGCGCTTGCGCTTGCGCTTAGAGCCGGCTTTGAGGGCATCTTTGACTTTCTGCTCGGCGCGCTGCAGCTGGCCGCGGAGTTTCTCGGCTTTGCGCTGCTGTTTCTCGATCTTGGTCTCTGGGTCGGACTTGGTCCTGCCGGCGGCGGCATCGAGGGCGTCCTTGTCGTGCTTGGCTTTTGCTTTGTCGCGGGCCGATTGCTCGGCTGCGGCTGCGCGGCGGGAGGCGAGTTCCGCGGCCTTCTCGTCTCGGCGGGCTTTCGTGGGCCATTTTTTGCGGCGCTCTTCCAGCCAGGCGGCGAGGTCGGAGGGTTCCCTGGGGGGTTTTGTTAGGAATTAAATAGCAAGGAGGTGTGGAGAAAACTTACTCAGGCAAGGCTGCACCGAGAGCTGCGGCTGCGAGCTTGGCTTCTTCGTCAGCATCATCCTCATCTTCACTCTCCTGGTATTCCTCGGTTCCCGGGGTAAGGCCAAGGGTATTGGTCTTGCGCTTCTTCTTCTTCTTGCGCTTCTCGCTAGACTTGGCACCGGCATCCGCCGCAGGCTTCTGAGGCTGATCGGTGATAGCACCTTGGCTGGAGTATTTATTGTGACCGGCACCTTGGTGCTTCTGGCCACGGTGACGAACTCGGTCATTGAACTGTTCACGCTTGTTTCCGCGGTTCTGCATGCCGCCCCTGCCACGGTTGGGGCCGTTGGACTGGAACGGGTTATGCTCAAGAGACTGCCTTCCGCCTCTGGGGGGGAAGGCATTCTGAGAAGGGTAGGGCTGGTACTGGTGCTGAGGTGGGTACGCCGGTGCAGAAAACGGAACTGGAGAACCATGCTGAGGACCACCATAGGGAGGCGGCGAGAATCCAGGGCTCGCTTGAGCCATTGGACCCGCAGACCGGCCGCTGTCAAAACCCATACGAATCGGGGGCCCCATCAGAGGGGCTTCAAAACCACCGCGGCCTGCGCCGCCACCGCCACGACCTCCACGGCCGCCGCGGTTGCCATTATTGAAGGGGGGCTGAGATTGAGGTCCTGGGCCTGCTTGCCACTGCTGTTGTGGCTGAGGGGGCATGGATGCAGGTGGACCGTATGGTCCCTGCGGGTACGGCGCTGGCTGCTGAGGGCCATACTGGGGCTGTTGCTGTGGTCCATTTGGCTGGTAAACTTGAGGAGCATAATTTGGATGATAGTTCTGAACAGACAATGGAGCGGGATGGGGGGGTTGCTGGTGCTGAACTTGATGATGCTGCTGCTGGAGCTGAGGCTCATTTCCGCGCCACTGTTGCGGTGGAGGATAGCCACTGGCAGGAGCTGGCGGTCCAGCGTACTGGCCACCTTGTTGCCCATAGCCACCAACTGGTGCAGGTGGTCCATTGTAACCTCCTGCATGTGGAGGGTATTGAGAGTTTTGAAATTCACCATGACCGCCTTGGCCACCCTGGTTGAAGCCACCTCGGCCGCGACCACGTGCGCCACCACCACGGGCTGGCTGCTGCCCATAAGGAGGCTGCTGGTACTGTTGATAGCCAGCTGGAGGGCCACCTTGGGCATTCGTAGATGGTGGAGGCGGAGGTGGCGGAGGAGGGTAGCTGTACTGGTTTGAAGCCATCTCGAGGTTCGATCTTTGTTCTTTGACTTGTTTTCTTTTAGATGGCAAAGATCGCTGCACGAGCACGATCACGATTGGCTTTGCTACTCGGCTTGCGTGAGACGTGGGGCTCGAGCTTGATACGACGTGAAGAATGAAAGGACCGCAGTGAATGGGAGGTATTGAAGACAGATGAAAACGACAACGAAACAGGAGAGGTCACACGAATGCTCAAACGTTCAAATCCAACGTTACTCAAAGTCGCGCTTGACGTGGTTGATGGTGAGGGCGGATCATCTATTTCCCGAGCACTGCTTTCAGTTACCGCCTCGCTTCGTTGCCCTAAGTTGGACATTTTGCTGTGAGACTGGTGAAGGCGCTTGTGAGGTGGGATATATCGAGGTCGGAATGGTAGAACAAGCTCGCTGTTGTACATTTTGAAGTAATACAAAGTTTGGATGAAGAGGAAGAAGGAAGAGAGAAATAACCACATATATCTCTATTGTGTGTGCTGCCGTTTGGAAAGCCAACGCTTGAACACGCAGTCACGTGGGAAATCTCTCACTCGAAAAGTTGACGCAGTCACTTACTCGACTGGTCAACCTAATCTTCTACCAAATACCTGAGGATGTTCATACTCGTAAGTAGGTAAATCTAGATTTTAGAATACCATACTAAGCAGACACAGACAAAGATATCCGACCTGGTGCAGATCACACCAGAAGATTTCTCAAAGCCAAGCAAGCAGGCCATTGAGGATAACATCAACGCCAAATATGCCAACAAAGTGAGATACGAACAGCATTCTCCCTTCAGTATTGCAGCTGTACTAATTCCTCACCAGGTCATCCAAAAGATAGGCCTCTGTATCTGCCTCTATGACCTCCTCTCTTCCTCAGAAGGCCTCATCGGCCACGGCACGGGCCTCGTGAACGTCAACGTCGAGTTCCGCCTCGTCGTATTCCGTCCCTTCCGCCACGAAGTCCTACACGGCCGCATCACCTCCGCCTCTCCAGAAGGAATCCACCTGCGCACCACCTTCTTCTCCGACATTTTCGTGCCCGCCACCTCTCTCCCAGCCGGCACATTCTTCGACCACTCGCAAGGCGTCTTCATCTACCGGCACCCGCACATCCCGGATCTCATGCACTTCGATACGTATGAGATGGCGCGTTTCCGGATCGAGGAGGAGGAGTGGATTGATCAGACGCCGGAGAAGCCGGAGTCGGATACGGCGATGGATGAGGAGGAGAGGAGGGCGAGGAGGTTGAGTCCGTGGAGGATTGTGGCTAGTATGGCGGATGATGGGCTTGGGCCGTGCTTTTGGTGGGATGAGGATGAGGAGCCGGAGGAGTAGGGGGGTGTATGTGGTGTGGGAGGGGTTGGGACGTTGTTACTATATAGATTTCGTCTGTACAGCATTGCGGCGGCGTTATTGGAATGAGATTGGATAATCAGAGCTCAGTTTGTTACACGCAGAATTTGCACCTTTGATGTCTTCGGGCATCGAACGTCCAGTGATATCGGTGTAGATTTTATGGTAAACTCTCTGTTGATTACTGTTGGGCTGGACGTGTATCTTGGGCATATTTTGGCATTGTTGGACCCCAACAAAGCATTACCATACATGAGTCGTCGACATGCCTCATTATGCTATTGGTATCCACATGTGCCAGCTTCGGAGCACAAAGTTCGACATTGCAGTGGAATTTCTGAGGTTTACTCAGCCACTCCATCAATTTTGGGCCTCTGTAAGTTTCCAGCAAAGCTATCGTATATTATTATATAGCTGTTGCTGGTGGGCTCTCCGCGCCAGCCCAGATCTACTCCGACTCCAGATCATGTATCTTCACCCACAAACTTCAAGCCTTCGTCTCCTCCTTTGTCCTAACCATAACAACCTCCCTCCTCACCCCCTCCTCCTCCTCCCTAATCCTCCCCACCACACCCCCCAACCCCTCCACCCTAACAACAAAATCCTCCATCGACCCCCCAACTCCAAAATACACCTTCTTCGCGCCCACCATCGCCCCACCCCCATTCTCCGTTCCCAAAATCCTCATCAGCACCTCCGCAAAACTCTCCAGCGCGGCCGGCGAGTATATTGTCTCCGCAGCCAATACCAGCAGCTCGGCGCTCGTATCGCGGGGCGCAGCTTCGACGAGCGTTGCGAATTCAGTGCCCCAGGCGCCGGAGAAGAAGGAGAGTGTTACACTCTGTGTGGTGAGGGCAGTGGTAAATTCTCTGATGAGGTCCTCGTCGATGTCGAGCTCGCCTTCCTCTTCGAAGGGCTCGGCGTCGTCGGGGGTGGTGCGTAATGCTGCCCAGGTGAGGAGGATATTCGGGACAGTAACCAGTCGCAGGACGCTGGGGTTGTAGTCCGCGAAGCCGAGTTCCAGTTTCCCCTTCTTCACCTCCTTCTCAAGATGCCGTTGCAAGATCGCCAAACTAGGCAGCGCAGTACCGCATCCAAGCTATCTGCTATCAGCACCACTCTCCCCTCATCCACGTGACAAACATACCTCTAAAAACCTCCTCCGGCCCTTCAACCCCTCCCCAGCCAACTCGCGCACCAAATCCACGCTACTCTCCCAACTCTTAAATCCCCCCTCATAAATCCCCGTCTTGACATCTGCGCTCCCGAGCCCAACCTCCTCATCCTCAGCCATCAACTGGACGCGTACATCCCAGAGCTCGCGCCGCGGGAGGGCGATGGTCGTTGCGCCATCGACAGTGATGGGGAGGGTGCTGTATGCGATTTTACTAGGCAGCCCGGTGAGGAGGGAGGACAGGGAGTGTGAGGTGGCGGGGAGGAGGGGTTGGTTGCCGACGGGGAAGGCGGACGAGGCGCGGCGAGGGGAGAGGGTGCCGGTTTCTGCGGGGGGTGGGGGGGAAAGGGATAGGTTGGTGAGATCGTCGGTTGTTTCTTCTATGTCGTCGCCGCCGAAGGAGAAGGCGAAGGAGGACATTGTGGTGGTTATGTGGTGGGGGTAGTTTGATGTGAGAAAAGTTATTAATCTGATCCCTGCTTGAGGATAAAGGCCTTATCCTTATCGGCAATCTCGCAGTCAGGTACACTAACTAGTTATGCACTAACTAGTTATGGCTGTTAGGCGAGGCTTGGTAGGTACACAGTCGATAGGCGATATAACCAGAAAAAATACAATAAATAAAAACTAACAACTAAAAACTAAAAAATATAAGTCACCACATCCGATGCGCTTCTCACCACTCACCCATTACTGGTGCAATCCCACTCGCCACGCCACGGTGAAAGATCCTCTGCAGAGTGAAACCTCCCTCAAGATTGTCTTTCATTGCTTAGGACCCCACAAGCAATCGTGCGTTACCGACACGAGTTGGGGGCCACCACAGCGTTCGAACCGGACACCATGTGATGGGATAGAACAGAGTGGTGAGATAGTGCAAATGTAGTTCCTTACCAGATGACCATCACAGCCGAAAATTTAACGGGTAACGAGATTTATATACCCTCCACAAATACGGAAGGAACCACCAACACCAACGAACAACATTATAACACTAAGTTAATGACGCGGTTTGCCAGCTGAACTGGGGATAACAATATGGACAGGCCCCCGCTGCCTCTTCAAAGAGGACTTCCAGCTCCAAAATGCGGTTTTCCATATACTGACCAGCGAACACGGGCCTGTTCGTTGCGAGATCCCGACCAGCCAATCTGCATTTGGTGGCGATCGAATCACCAAGATCATCGGTTGTACAATATGAGCCTTGGCGCATGAGGGTGGTTATGAATGATACTGCTGTTACGCTTTTTATGGATTATCTCGCGCCACAGCTATTTGATGGAGCCGCTGAACTACTCGGTGCCTTGCAGAGCCAGCTTCGTGAAAACACCACAATGCATCGGCTCACAAACGAAGGAGCAACACTAGGCTTCTATATCTCGGACTGGAGCGGCCGCTACACTACAACGAACCTGACATATGCTTCGTAGGACGCATTGATGGAACTGTGGTTGGTTCAGTATCGGTGCTAGATGTTCTCGAGGGGGTAGCCCAAAGTCTTTCGCAGCCCCAGGAGTGCTCTCACAGTGAAATATCTATGGATGTCCTCAACGTCCAGGTATCTACTTGGATAAACCAAAACCGCAGCAAACCTGCAGGTACTATGGAAATCCCAGCTCTTCTGGCCGTAAAAGAACGATCCAGCCTGGGGCTCTTTTTGCTATAGGGCAGTCTAGATCCTCTAAAAGCTGTATAGTACTACGATGTCTTAGTTGTGCTCTTTCAAACAACCCTACATCGATTGCGGATAGTGTCGTGTCAATTGGCTACCGTTAATTTCACTTCTTGATAGTCATATAAGGGAACTTAAACTAAGCTAGCTCTTCTTCTATTAGTGACGTTGCACTGAACTGTTTTGTTGCACGGGGACATCAAGGCTTCTAAGTGAGTGGTTCGTAGACCATGGTAGTTGTGTGGAAAGTTCGGTCTACCAAGTTGTTGTCAAGAGAATTTTTGCTCGACCGAGCTTGAAGCATACCATAGCGTGATATGCACCCCGCTGCAGATTTGAAAGGTTGGCAGGGGCTGTTGCAAAATGATTAAAGGCGTGGTAACTGATGGTGTATATTGGACTCCGTAATGGTATCATGATCATTTATACAGTACTCCCCACCCATATATACCACTATACTACGGCTTCGGAGCCTTCTTTCCCCCAGTCTTCTTCCAATCGCTCGCTCTCTGGCTACTCCTCGTCTTCGGCCTCCCCTTCCCCTTAACATTCTTCCCACCCAACTTAAGATCCTTCGGCTTCCCACTCTTCGAACTAGCCCTATACCCCTCGAAAATAAACGCCTCCGGTCCCTTAATCCCCGCCGCAACAGCCTGTCCCACCCCACCAGTTCTCTCCTGACTCTTCCCACCCTCCTCACGCTTCCTGAATTGCGCCGCCCCAGCACGTCCTAGAAGCTTGCCCGCACGCCCCTGCAGCGACTGCTGCTGCGCTGACATCTTTGGGTTGTAGATGACTACGTTGTTTGGGTTGTTGGGGCCCTTAATGGTAGGACGAGGTGCGGACTCGCGCTTCTGTGCGTTGGCAGTCTTTTTCATGGCCTTGGCGCGGGTGACGCGCAGGACGCGGGGGAGCATGGGTGGGAATTTCTTCTCGTTGAAGAGGAGTGCTGCTTCGACGGCGTTGGCATCCTGGGAGCGGTTAGATTTGTTCACATGTGTGGATGGTTGGGGTGGGGACTTACTTTGAATTGAACATATGCGAAGCCTTTGCCGACACGGGTCTTTTCATCGCGGACAACACGCACGCTCTCCACCTCTCCAGCCTTGCCGAATTGCCTCCACAGACCCTCCTCAATGTCCGAGGGGATCTTGGAGCGCTTTCTCTGGGTCTCATCGCCCTCGTCCATCATGCTCTCGTCGTCGACGAAGCCGAGGTTTCCGACAAAGACGCAGCGACGATGGTCGGTCTTCGCGGGATGCGCAACGCCGTCGACTCTCAGGTGGCGGTCAAGGACCACTGTGGAATTGAGCCTCTTGGCGGCCTCGCGGGCGGCGAAGGAGGAGGTGTATACGACGTAGGCGTTTGTGCTCTTCGTTGTTGCTGCCATCAGGGCCTTGGTGGCGAATGAGGCTTTCTTGGGGAGCGTGCTTTCGTAGGCGGTGGATCTGAAGCGGATGGATTCAACCTTGGGCTTCGGACTGCCATCCAAAGGCGGTGGCAGGTCGTCAATGAAAGAGCCCATGTGATCCATCAACGTCTTCTTGGCCTTCTTGTCGGTGATTGCATTGGTTGAAACGTTGGCAAGGAAGACTGTGCGAGCCGCCTTCTCCAGTTCCGAGGTTTCCTTATCGACGGTAAGGGATTCATGCATCGGTACGTCCTTTGGAGTTTGGCGGGTTTTCGGCTTCTCTTCGTCACTATCCGCGTCCTCTGCGTCTGCCATCTCCTCATCCTCGTCTTCCGAGCTTTGCTCGCCCTGCTCCACCAGGAGCTTTTGGCGCTTCAGTTTGCGCTCAGCTTTCCGCTCAGCCTCTTCTTTCTCTTCTTCTTTGGCCAGTTTCGACAGGTATTTCCCCTCCAGGTCCTCCTCCTTGTTATCGCGCTTGCGTTTGCGGGGAGCCTTATCTTCAGCTGCCTCCAATGGGTTGAGTGGTGCGCCGCCATCGTCTGACGATTCTTCGTCGTCGTCCGACAAGCCGTCCAGGCCTTCATCTTCGAGGTCGCCATCCACACTGCTTAACTCTTGGTCGTCTCCCTCATCTTCCTCGTCTTCTTCAAGGTCGGACTCCTCGTCCTGCTCGACAGCGGCTCGTTTTTTGCTTGGTGGCGGTGCTTCTTCATAACGGCTTTTTGGTGGCACTTGTACAGGGCCAGCCTACAGAAATATTAGTTAGTTGATAATGCACGGTACATGTCAGTAAAAACGTACACTTGAAGCAAAAAGAGCGGCCAGCGTAGGGTCTACGGCTGCCTCAACTGCGACTAGGGATTTTGGAGCCTTGGCAGGCTTGCTCTCTTTGGATGCACCATTGCTTTCGCGTGATTTTTTGCCCATTGTGAAATAATTGAGCTGAAAGAAGTGAAGTTGTCTTGGTTTTCTGCGGAAAAGTGAATTTCTGATATCAAATTCACAATCTAAAAGAAACTCTCAATAATTTTTGGATGGTCAAAGCGTCACGGCGATCGCCGGTGCTAGCGTGAGTATTGCCGATTGCTCGCGGTAGACAGTTTGGCCATGCCCGCACCGTTACTTTCTTGAGGAGTCAAATCTCGATCGTTTACTGCCTTTTCATGCCTTTCAGCTGGCAATAACAGCGGAATACATTATCTTAAGCTCTGTGCTTTTCTACTGAACTCAAAGTCAACAAGCAATCATATTTCTATCGGGCCTATTGCCTCTCGACTAACTGCTTCAACCCCGTTGACGCGCACTGAATCGACAAACGGGCACATCCTCAATGTGAATGCGCATTCGAGCTACAGGCACAGAGGTACCCAAAGCAAGTTGAGCGCAAGATGAGCGTTGCTATAGAGAGTCAAGGTGATCTGCCTCTCCCAGATAACCTCCAGCACGCAGAAGATGCCCAGAGTGACCTGGGGGATGGCTCGAGCAGCTTGAGCGACATCGAGCAAGACGTCGACCAAGATGACGGGCAGGATGGTCTCGACGATGATATGGAATCAGACGAAGCAAGCGAAGAAGAAGAAGATGAGGAGGAAGAAGACAACGACTCTGAAGCAGAAACAGAGCGACTAGATGTTTCGCCCGATAAGAAGCGCACACACAAAGACGTCGTTTTGAACTCGCACACAGAGGGTCACACTTTCGAACGGGCTTCGTCAAATCTGCACGGTCAATATGGAGCTGAGGAGGATGAAGACGAGGAGTCCGATGAAGAGGATAACGCACCGGGCGATATTTCTGACGATGAACTGTCGCTCCCAGATTCGCCAAAAACTGCAGCAGAAGAAGAAGCTGTCGCAGACGCCGCTGATGACGCCGCAGCCGCAACAGCACAGCTGGAAGAGTCTATAGCACAGCCAAAAGATATCATGCACGCATTCGATCTCACAAATAAGAAGAGGAAGCGGTCGCAATTACTGGATGTCGACTCAGCCGATGCGACCGACACCCGCGAACCTCTCAGGAAGCGCACTGGATCCGTGCAACCACCTGGCGATGACTCTGCCATTGATGAGAATGCATCTGCGCGAGGCGACGAGGATACACCAAATCCCGTTAGTGGAGATTTGTCCGACGCCGAAAGTGTTGATGGGCAGGAAGAAGACGAGGACGCTGAGCATCCCGACCAGAAAGAAAAACTACACGTTGATGAAGAATTGGAGGACCGTGTAGAGACCGCGGAAGAGTTACGAACGAGCAAGAGGCGGCGGAAGAGCACCGTCAATGGCAAGGAGGTAGCGGCAGGCGAAGCCAACGAGCCCGCCGACAAGCACGCCGTAAAAGCTGTCAGCGATGAAGGAGAAGAGGATCATGCAGAGGTTGAAGCTGATGATGCAGAGGCTGCCCTGAGGGACGAAGAAGAACGTGAGTTTATTCATGCACTGTGCTGTGAACGAGCTGACGATTATAAACAGAGGAGAGAAAGCACATAGCTCTAGAGCAATTGACGGATATAGAGCGACATTTTTCATCATTCAGAGATCGATTACACGAAGACCGACTGGCGAAACTCAACTATGAAGAATGGATGTTGAAGCAAGACCCACCAATACACCCAGAATACCTGGCCATGATGCACTGCATTGATGCGCGAAGAGACGAGAAGCTGAGGATAGAGATGCGACGCGCCGATTACACACGAGAAACCATAGAAAAGTCTGCAGTTGGAAAACGAGCACAAATATTGTCACAGTTCTACCAAGAAGTGCGAGAAATTCGCGAGCAGAAACTCGAGCTTCTGGGTAAACAGTGGTATGAGATCCAACACGACAGGCGAGCGCATGGCTCAAGCGTGAACGACTACGCGTTAAGATATACGACGAAGAAAGAAGACCAGGTTCGGGATCAATATGCGTATAACCTAGAAGTGTCGGTCCTCTCGGGCATTGCGAAATACCGAGGCTTTCCAGCAGCTCCAGCAATGGCTCCAGCAACTTCCACGGAGCTGGAAGATGACTTCAAGAAGATGGGCGTAAGTTTGGCATCTAGCCAACCTTTGTTTATATGTGTACTGACATGTGAATAGAAATCCAGCCAAAAACAGCCCCAACAGCGAGCGCAGCCAAGTTTACAGCTACAAGACATTGCCGCGATGCGTGCTGCGGCGTCAGCAGCTGCTTTGAAACCAGCCGAAGAACAGTTTATTGAACAAACTCCCTGGGCCAACCCGCAGCATCCGTCTCATGTGCACCTTCTCCAGCGCCAATCACCTGCCCAGCAGGGCCCAAGAACAGGTAGCCCCTTCTCGATGGCAGTGGGGCAACAGCCGCGTCGGCAGACACACCAGCAGGCTGGCGGACTTCCTGTATCTGGAACCTTCTCAGGGATCTCTCAACCTCAAGGCGCCGGAAGGGGTCAGATAAGCACTTTCAATAATGCACCACAACCACAAAAGATGGGACCTTCTCCACTTGGGAGTCGGCGGCCGTCGATTCTACTAGAGCAGAGCAGGCTACCAGCGGCCGTTAACGAACAGTCCAAGCCTCACGAGAACCGTCAAAACATGGAGGCTGGACCAGAGGCTTCACACCCGCCCTTAATCAGTCCGCCTCGACCGCAAGAAGCCCTGCACGAGTTCTCATATGAGGGAGGGGTCGGAGTCAAACGCGAACAGCCGGCGACAGTCACGAACGGGAGGTTCTAATTCTAATTCCCCTCATTGGGTGCGATTCACATTTGGCAATTAGCGTGGAGTATAGAGCAAGGTTTCTTTTTTCTTTTGTAGGGGTTTATTGCACTAATGGAGATGGATACCCTGCATAGGTTGGGACGGTAAGGCGAATTATGACGCCATGAAATTATATACACTGTACATCAGGTTATTCTGTACATGCTCTGGTTTATACTGATAGTAGTACAATGAAGTTGAGATTCCACTCGCTCACGTTGGAGAGAAATATAATCTTTGTTCGCTCCTGAGCCATCGTAAAATGTGTCACCCCCAATGCCCGCTCCCATTCCGCGACTTTCATTCTTCCTCGTAAATTGGGAAAGTAAACCCTTAAGCGCCTATTGTTACAATATTTTCCTATCCTATTGGGGTGTCGTCTTCTTCGGGGCGTCGGGGACGATAACGTCTTCGAACTCGTCTTGCGCAACGGCTCTGATCGTGAGAGCATCTGAGGGCGATTGTCAGTAATCTGGGTATCGTAGCAATTAAGGAGGGGTAAACATACAGACTCCTATAGTGAAAGCAAAGATGCCAACGCCGGTGAGCATATTCTTGATGAGATACGGCCGCCTCGCCCGAATCAAAGCCGGGGACTGTTTGTAGTTCTTGTCATAATATGACGACTTGGGAATGCTGCAGAAGGCATTAGTAAATAATCGAATTCGCGGACTTTGGAATGAACGTACATCGGCATCTTGACTTTATTTACGAGGGCTGACAAGAAACATCCATACCATACTTCGGCACAAGGCAAGTGAACTTTGGCGGCGGCGATGCAAGTAGACCCACTTTCACGCTAGCGCCCATTCAGAATTATGATGGTCATAGCTTGAGCCGCATCTTGTTACACTTGCACTGCAACTTCACGTCACGTCCTCCAAACAACTTCGTTTTCCATCAAAAGAATAATCAACAATCAGCAACAAGGTGGTATAACACGTAGACACCCGGGGAATATACTATTTCATGGTACTTGAATACAGCATGCAAGCGACATCGGCATTGTCCAACCCGACAGCGACAACATTTCCCTGAACATCTTCTACGACCCTCCTTGGCTCTTTCAACATCCCCTTGACTCAATCGCATAGTTCCATGTAGCAGCGATGGCAGCGCCTACTCTATCTGTCAGCGACCAGCTGAGCCAACTTGATGCTGCGCGAAATCTTGTACTGGGCGACGGCAACTACTATCCTCAGATTATACAAGGCATACTTCCGATCATTGGACCCACGGCCAGAGTAGAATTACGCAGATGGGGCGCGGACTTCTTGGCCGAAACCTTCTCAAATCCAACCGTATCTTCCAGTCAGAAGGAGACACTGAGTCTGATCGTCCTGGAGAACCTGAAGTCTATGATCGAGAATGTCAACGAAGACCCTGCGGTTGTGAAGAGCGTCGTTCAGACCGCAGCTAGTATATACCCCTTTGTCCTCCGCTGGATGTATGTATACCCCCCTTGACTTAGCCCAGCATTTGCTGTGGAATTTGACATGATTGTTCCTACCCTCATGGCTCTACCTAGCACGTTCTTGTCATGCCCATGTTGATGAAGCTCGTCTGATAACGGTCTGTCTTAGAATCAATAATCTATATGACAAACCAACGTGGGAGAAGATGGCAGCCATCAAGACCAGAATCCTTCGAATCTGGGATACCGCCCCTCCAGGAATCAGAATATGCTGTATCAAATTCTCACAAAGAGTGGTTCTGGCTCAAACAGCACCACCAGATGGAGATGGAAGAGTAAGTGCACATTCAGACACCCTACAGGTCTCTTGGTTCATTCACTGATATTATTCTCACAGCACGGTGATCCACTCGACATATCCCTCGCATTGGTGCCGGCAAATCACGCATTGATACCCCAACGAAATCTTGAGGCTGAAGCATCTGGGCTGCTGGATAGAATGCTTGGAGTGCTTCACGAGAACCCGACGTAAGTTCCCCTCGCTCTTCAGAAACTGTCTTGCTAAGTTATTAGTGATGCTGTACTCATTGATGCCACCCTAAACTCCCTCTCCATCCTCATCCGTGCTCGCCCGGCAATTGCCAATAAAATCCTCCATGCCATATTGAACTTCAATCCCCTTAAGCTCGCAAACTCGCCCATGACGTCCAAACTCCGTGTGATGGCGAAATCCATGGAGAAGACAACACGGATATTGCTCATGCATGTTCACAAACGGTATGCTAGACTCACAATGCCCGATATGTGTCAGGATATACTGACTGGTGTAGTGATCCCCAAGGCCCCATGGCCCTACGCATTCAGCAATATGTCGAGCGGCTCATCAGGTCACGAACTGAGATATTCGATGAAGCCCACAGGAAGCGCGGTCCCCCTGAGCTGGTGGACGGGAACGACTCTGCCAAACGACAGAAGCTTGGAGCTGCTGTTGCCGCTCCAATAATGAACCTCGTCATTCCGCCGTTCAGTCCAGGACCACATACCATCGCGGAGTTGTTCACAATCACACAGGACAAAGGGTTGGTATTTGATGTCTCACAAATACCGGAAGAATTGGTTGCGTCGATTGGAGTGGCTCTCATGTCACAGCTGGATGAGGGTCTTTTGAAGCAAGCCATTAAAGTAAGTCATGCTTGCTATATAGATATTGGCCAGTAACTAACTACGATTTCAGGGTGTCCGCGATCGATTCGAATCTTTCGGAACTCAGACTACAATTTCACAATTGAACCCAGATACAGCACCGCTTGGTGTGGAAGAAGACGACGACGATTACGAGCCCGACTTCGAGGCGGCAGAGGATACAGAGCAAATATTGAACAAACTCGACAATGCCCCGCCGGAAGAGTCGCCAGATCGGCCTCCGGTTGTGGCGCTGGGGCCGTTTAAGATGCCAGAACCGCAAGCTCTCACCAGCGAAGAAGTGATGGAGAATGGGAAAAATACAGTTGCGCGTGTCTTCTCAGTGATGCAAACGCTCGAGGACCCTGCATTGAAGAAGAGTAAAGCTGGAATCAACCGCCTTGCGGCCAGCACATACGATAGGGAGGCATGGGTCACAATTGTGACGCGCTTGGCAACTCGCGCACCGGCCGGCTTGGAAGATACTACAGGTGTAGTAAAATCAGAAGTTGGCGAGGCGAAGGTGACTCTCGGTGATAATATCCGGGATGCACTCTACCTATACGTTCTTGAGGATTTTAGGCATCGGATTGAGACGGCCGTTGCTTGGCTATGCGAGGAGTGGTACAACGATCAGATCCAGGAGAAGGCTGGAGCAGTTACAACAAGCCACTACGACAAATGGGTGATTCGGGTGCTGGATGGGATGATGCCATATCTCGACGCTCGCGATAAAGTTCTGACGAGATTTCTCGGCGAGATCCCAAGGCTCACGGCCGAGATGCTCGAAAGGGTGAAGGGGTTATGCCGTGATCCCGCTATGGTCAATCTGGCCTTGACTAGTCTACTATACCTCGTCATGATGCGACCCCCAGTGCGAGAGATTGCCTTGGATGCCGTGGAGGATGTATGGCGGACTTGTAAGTATATTTAAACTACACGTTATGTTTATCTAACATTTGACAGATGACGATGCCAAGCCAATGGCAGCCAAATACCTGACCAAATGGCGCCCTGGATTTATTGAGCGAAACAGCGACACAAAGGAGGACAGTGAATCAAAACTGATCGCCGGGTCTGAAGGAAAGAACGGAGTGCCGTTAACGGCCTGAGTAAGATGGGGATACCCATTCGTGCATCTGTACTGGCATTGTGCAAGGCTTGGGACAATAGGGATGTTGGTTAAAGCATTAGAACGGCGTTTTTTGGGGGGAATTATGAGGGCGGAGCAATCCCGTTAGGTAGATACCTGTGCCAAGAGGTGTACGAATAAGGAGTTGGCAGAATGGCAAAGATCATTGATATGATAGTACTCTCCTGTCTCTCATGTACACCGCAATTATGTGACAACACGACGCGCAACCTGTACCATGTATTTTCTACAACCATTAAAATAAGCGCATTGGTGTGGATCGATCTTAAACCCTTCAAGCATTACCTCCGCAAATTTGCCAAATCTGTTTCGTTTCATCCAAAACATCTTCTCGATGCGGATTGATAGGGCTGTCGTTGCCCAGTCAGCAATGATGCGGCCACAGCCGCGTTCGTAAGGCATGGACAATTTATGAAACGCGGGTAACAGTGGAACCAGGGCCAGGGGAAGTGTATAATTGAGGCGAGCGACCTTCAACGCGATCGCCGCCAATTTCTGTACCATATCTCGATCTCTCATAGAAGCGCTTCGTTCTGCGTATATTGCCAGTCACTCGTTACGTTCTGGTTTCCATATTACTACTCCTGCTGCTCTTTGTTTGTTGGATCGCTGTTGAGACTGTGTGAGGCGTACATATTATTTATTTGAGGAGCTGGCGAGATGAGCCATGGGTCGAGAATATCCCCAAGGGCCAGTACCGATTCATAAACACGGGTTGCCAGATCAAAGTAAGCTTGAAGCCTCGCTGACTTGCCACCACGTTGCCTGTTAATCCTTCGCGCCTGAGATCTCGGGCGAAGAGGTCCCCTAGAATTGCGACCCTGAATTAATTCCCACAAATGACGTCTAGGCGTGTCAATCCATGCAGTTGGCACTACCTGATCGTGTTCCTAACAAAAAACAGATACAGACACCTCCCGCAGGGGCCTTCGAGAAGATTCAATTGCCCGCCCTGTCGATGCTCATTCAAGATCACTGTCACCAATGTCTGCCGCAGCCATGAATAGCGTGAAGCTAGTGACGAACAAAGACGACGATGATGTTGGCCAACCTTTATCCAAACCTTCTTCTAACCCGTCGATGGACTCTATGAAAGTCGAAAAGCAGAGAGGTGGTGGGAATAACAATGCCGGTCCTGGAGGAAATGGAACCAACACTGAAAACCGACCCAATGCCACACCCTCCACGCCGGTGGACTCGCGCTTGGGAATACCTCGGGTTTCGTCTGTGCGAATGATATCCGCCGAATTTGGTGGCACCAAGAACTATCCCCCCAACATCCCCATCGCCGAGGACAACGGTGGCGGCAGCAACGGCTCGACGCCGAACGGGCAATGGAGTTCCGCCGTAGGCCGTGCTAATCTCGGAAAGAGTGGACGAGTCATCGAGCGCCTGATGGGGGAGAACGACATGTTAAAGCGGGACCTCCAGATCGAGCGACTGCACCTCGAAGAAGCGCGCCAAGCCGTCAAGATGACCGAGGAGCGCATCAACGTCATAGAAACCGACTATGAGGGCCGCCTTCACGACGCCGCCATCAACAAGACTCTACTCAAGAAGCGTGAGAGACAGCTTGCGGATATCAAGAACCATATCGACGCCGAGAAACGCCGGGCCGACGAAGCTGTTGACCGGGAGCGCACGTGGTGCGAGGCGATGGAGAGGCTGGAGATCGAGTCGAAACAGAAAGTCGATGAGGCGGCCAACTATGCGCTGCTAATGGAAGGTCGCTATAAGGCACTGACGAACCACTGGAAGGAGCAAGGCGAGGTGGTCGACCGTACGGTGCGCAAGCTGGGCGGCGAGATCACCGGGCTGGTGCAGGAGCGGTTACGTGATGGCGAACGTCTGGATGCGCTGCAACAGCTCTGCAATGAGCAACGGGAGAACCTGGCGCGTTTGCAAGACGAGAATAAAACAATTGCTGAGACGTCGAAGGCGCATAGGGATGAGCAGGATGCCTCGCTTGCTGGTATCAGGACTAAGGCACGCGCGCAGGAGAAGGCTAATGAAGAAACCCTCGCCGAGACGAAGGAGGCGCTCCACAAGCTAAAGTGGGCGCTCGGGGTCAACAAGAACAGGGGCGCAGATTGAAGGGGGGGGGACTCTAATGGAACCTTTTTAACGACGGGAGTTTTGTTTTGTAACGACGGCACATAGGGAACTTACAACACCACACACACTTGGAAAGGATAATGAAATTCCAAACGAAGGGGGACTTTTTAACGACTACTATAGAACAGCATACAGCATAGTGTGGCGGATTGGCTAGGCACTGGTAATGGAGAGGGAGACGACAGATACGGGACCTACTACCTAGCAGATATGGGAACCCTTGGGCGGCAGGCAGGCATCGTTGGCGTTTATAACAAGTTGGCAAGGATGGATAGGCTTTTGCCGTACTTTATTTCAATCCTGTGTGTATACCCGTCTGTTTAATGGCTTTATTTTTCTATATGTGTGTTGTTCTCAATTTTTAATACAGCTTTGATTAGCTTCTTAAATAATGTAGCAGCTCTAGGGGGATGGAGTGGTTCTGCCCCCACAGTACTGTATAAATCGATTTTCTAGTCTCAAGCCATTTTTCTTTGTCTGTTGCATTTCTTTGTTCTCTATTTCTTTGTCCTTTGTTGCCCTCTTAGACATTCTGTATATGCCTTGTCGCCTCAGTCCCTTCAAGCAAACTACCACAATGCTTATGGGCTTGTTCTGTTGCCCTGGTATTTCACCTCCTCCATCACCTCCAAAATTCACAAAACACAGGTTGACCTTTCTCAACACCTGATTTTGCAATTCTGTTACATCAACTCCTACTTTTGATACTTGCAGGCTTATATATACGCTTATACTTCTGCAATCTCGCCGGAGGGTCTTTGTCCCCACAAGATCCCCAACAATGTCACATTACGATTCCTTCTCCTCACAGTACCAGGGGACAGCCCCAGCTGTATTCTACTATACCAGTCCCTGGACTGTCACTCCTGCTGCGAAGGACCAGCTGGAGGTCAACTTTACCATTGCAATTGAAGGTCTTGGACTTGTGAGTTCATTCCCTCTCCTTTCTCACCCTATCCCCAGATCTAGTTCTGTTTATATGCCATCCCCGAACCCCGATCTTTGATCCCCGAACCCCGTACCCCGTACCCGTATATCAAAGCGGGGATACCCCGGTTTAACTGCAGTTATGCATATCAGACTAACAATGCGACCTGGCAGACTGCACGACTGAGCTACGACCATGACAAGCACTTCTTCAAGATCGACTGTCTGCCAGCGGAGAAGGCGATTGTGTATACCATGTTCTCCCGGGTGATTGACGCCTTCCTCAAGGAACAGGTTGGGCCAACTGTTAAGGTGAGTTGTCCTACAAAGTGTGATCTTGACATGTGCATGGCATGACTAACCCACACTCTCTTATAGAAGGAGAGCACTCTGGCCACGAAGATCGGACCGATCCCCTTTGGAGTGCGTAGTGCGATCAAGGAAGCTCAAGACGAGGTCTTGCTTCAGGGGTTCATGAAGACGGAGTGGTCATGCCCAAGGATTGAGCAGCTCGGTGGTGTCTTTGGTACTAAGCTGCTGGGGAAGATTGGGCAACTCACTGAGTGTACTCTGACGTATAACTCTGAGTTGAGAATAATTAAAATTGTCGGCCCCGACCAGGAAACTTGCCATCGTGCAATCCTAAAGCTCGATAAAGTTCGAGACTACGAGGTAAGCCCCCCCTTCCCCTTTCCCACCCCGCACCACTAACTGTCACTAACCATTCCCTAGGTCCCCCTATTCAACAACCCTTTCGCCAACCAAGCCCACCTCTTCTACGCCGAAGAGCACACCGAATACGCTCCCATCCCCACTCCCTTAAAAGTAATCCACGCCCTCGACCTCTATGAAAACACCCTCCTCGACATCTCCGCCTATCCTCCCACGCTCAATAGTCCCTACCTAGCCCTCTCCAAATCCGCCATCCTTCGCTGTGCCATCTACAACGAAAACCGTCGTGGTCTTCGCCCTTTGCCGTTGCCGAAGAAACCGGATCCGCTGACTATTGAGGCGCAGAAGGGGGCGGAGTATAAGGTGTTTGCGAAGCATAAGTTTGCTGGGAAGGGAGATGTGGATCCGTTGGTGGGAGTGATTGAGGACGTGGAGCAGGTAGAGGGCGAGGAGGCGGAGGGGGATATTGAGCTTGAGAAGAAAGCTAAAATTGTGGTTTGGGTGAGGGATGTTGAGGAGAATGGGACGGTGCCGGAGGATGTTGCGAGTGAGGAGAAGGGTTTGATTTCGCCTGTGAAGGAGAAGGTTGGTGGGAGTATCCAGGCAGATAAGATCACTGGGACAACTTTCAATGGGGATTCGAAGAAGCAGAACGCTGGCGTCTCACCAGTCCAGGCTGCGACTGCCATGAACACCATACCACCGCACCTCAGACGTCTATTCGAACCCCTAGCTCGAGGCCCAGCTCCCCAACGCAGGTCCCTCCTCGACATGGACATCGAAGACAACCTCTCTTTCACCATGCAACCCTTTTCCCTCCAATCCACCACACTCGCCGCGCCCACTGTACCTCGCGCACCAACTAACCCCGTCAAACCACCCTCTGACCTCCCCAAACCAACCACAGGTTCTCCACAACCACTCATCGAGCCCCTCATCGAAACCCTCCAAACCACCTCCGAACCCTCAACCCGCACCTACCACCACACCATAAACCTCCACGCCGCCTCCACCTCAAAAGGCCACTGGGTCGGAAACACCTTCGTGCCTGCCGCTCCCCCCTCCCTCCTAAGCACTCACTTCGTCACCTCCCTCCACACCGCCACCGTGCCGGTCCTACAGGCCCTTCGCGGCTGGCGTGGCAGCGCCAAACTCGAGGTGAAGATCGGACGAATCTGGATCGCCCACGACGCGTTACAGCTTTCCGAGTCTGATGCCCGCGGAGCAGCGGGTATCGTGGAGAAGAGGAGGATGGCGAGGTGGCTTGAGGGGGGACGTAGAGCGGATATGACTACACTTGTTACTGAGGAGGCGGGGGATGTGGAGGCGATTGTTGGGATGAAGTTATTTGAGCAGGATGGGCGGTTTTGGGGGAAAACGCCGAAGTGGGGGATTGAGTATCAATTTTCTTGCGTGGATCCGAGAGAGGGAGGTGGTGAGGGAGAGGAGGGCAAGTTTATGGTGACGGTTGATGCGGAGACGTTTCGCTGGAAGTGTGAGACGCGGGAGGGGTGTTTGGGAGAGACGTGGGTGCATTGCCTTAAGCGCGTGTGGGATTTTAAGGTTTGTGCGACGGGGAGACAGGAGGTGGGTGGTGAGTATAAGGAGTGGGCGGAGGAGTTGGTAGAGGGGCTTTATGTTCCGTGAGTTCTCCCCTTTTTCCCATTTCACCCCTCTTCCTTATCCCACAGTATTTTTGGTCGTGGAAGCCTACAAAGTTGAGAGCACAGCTAACTCTTTTTTCTTTCTTTCCGACAGACCTAACACAGACATCACAAACCTAACCCTCTCCTTCACCCTCCCTGCCCCCCATGCCCTCTCCTTCCCCACCATCCGCATCGCACGCAAATGCACCTACACCAGCACCACCACCCTCGTCCTCCTCCACATCACCGAAATGCACGACCTACTCGTCGAGCGCGTCGGCCACACTCCCTCCGGCCAAATCGTCTACCGCGCCTCCACGCGCCCCGGAAGAGGAGAAACTGACCAGGAGGCGCGCTGGTTCGAGGTGAGCCTTAGCGGGAAGGGATGGGAGGGGATGCTTGCTGAGGAGATTGAGGTTGGGGGGGAGAGGATGGGGTGGGGGGACGACTTGAAGAACCGGGTGGAGGAGGTGGTTGGGACGGCGGCGGCGGTGGTGAAGGGGATGGAGGGGGTGGGGGGGTGGAATACGAATCCGTTTGGGGAGGTGTTGAGGGGGGAGGAGAGGAGGAAGAGGGAGGAGAAGAAGACGTGGGGCAAGGAGGGAAGGGGAGTGGGCTGGTAGGATGATGGTGGGGTTAGCTAGAGGGATTTGTCTACTGCTTCTTTCTCATAGAGGCTATGGTGTCTCGTGTGATGATGGGAGGCTGTCCATGAATTACCTTCATGCGTAAATTAGACAAGAGATTAAGAATACACGTGATCGAGAGATTAGCTTCCAGGTGAACCCGCACTCTGGCTAAAGCAGCATTTTGTTGATATCTTTACAACATAGACTCACTTACTCGTACGAGTATGCTGTACGGATGCTGTAGTAATATAAATTGCAATACAAATTAAAATCCCAGATTAAAAAGGACACTCTCTGCCGAAGATCTCCCTGCGCCAAGATGCAGAGCGCGCGGCACAGAAGCAGGCGTTTCCGTTTCGTTCCGCCCGTCGTTCATAACGACCCCATCGGAATCCCACAAGCAGTTAGTATCCAACACTCTTATTTGCACGACGATGATGAAAATCTATGGGGAGACGGGATGCAGGTGACGCAAAATGGGTATATAAAGTGCATATAATTGCGTATAAATCCTTGTAAGTCAAGTTACAAGCACAAAAACATGTTGGAGAGCTCAGGCTTATTTACGAGGAGATATCAGAATCCGACGTCACTATGAACAGCAAGCAACTTACCTGCCTTCCAACATATCCAGCACCCATACCCAAGTACCAACTTCCACGTCGGTTGGGTAGGGATTAAAATAAACAATTTTCGACCGCTTTGCCACGGAGATCCTGGCCCTGGTCTTATTGTGTGATATCCTATGTATGTATAGCTCGTCTTACCGCCGCCCTCCCGCGCGATCGCCGTCCTGTTCTCATGTCTCACCGAGGTAAATCCTAAATCATAACTTGTACAGCCTCCGGTCTGGACTTTTCCTTATCTTGCTCTGAACCCCGTTCGGCATCAGTTGGTGGGTTCCTAGTGAGGCACCCCGTTTGAACACTAGATGTCGTAGTGCTCCTCCTATATCCACTTTTCCGCCCCGTTCAATCTTCTATCTCCATATCTCCATCCTTTCTTCCCCATCCAAAACCCACTGTACCGCTCTCCCTCCCTCCTTCTCGACCTAATTGGCGCCTCCCATCTCCATATGTGATTCTCGGCCTCCCCTGGGTCAACTTGCACGGCCAACCAGTTACCCCTTCAATGTGGCCTAGTGTGAGGTTTCTATTTTGGACGAAGGCGCGCAACCGCTCGTCGATCCGGATACGCCAAGGCGACGCCGCCCTTCTGATGCGGAGAGCACGGTAGACGACGATTCCGGGGATGAGTATATCGACAAGAACAAGCTGCATGTACATACGAGCTATGACAGGGGCCCGGAACGCCTCCATACCCGGGTGGGCTTGCCGATATCACCGTTCGAGCAGAAGCAGTCCCAGCAGCTCGATGACGAGCTCGAGATGCTGAAGGCCGAGTCGATGGTCAACCAGGCGAACGAGGAGAAAAAAAGAGAAAGACACTCTGAGACCCTGTCGAGGACCAGACCCCTCGCCCGGACAAGGTCGAGGGTGAAAACCGAGCCGGCGGACGAATTTGATATCGGCACCACCCCGGTGTACGAGCAGACCAAGGTCGCCGGCCAAACCGGCGACCCGGCTGGCAAAGATGTTTATCAAAGTCCACCAGTCGAGCTTCATCGTGCGGTATCTCTCCTATATCACGCCTGTTGCGCTGGTTCTGCTGATCCCGCTGCTCCTCGGTCCTGTTCAAAGATGCTACGGTGGGAGACGTCAGGCTGATGTGGTTTTGTATCTGGCTTGAGATTTTCTGGCTTATGCTCTGGCTGGGCCGGATCATTGCCAAGTGCATCCCATACCCCGTGGGTCTCATCGCCACCATCTTCACCAACTCCGAGAAGGTGTGGCGAGACATGGCCAGGCAGCTGGAAGTCCCCATCCCCACGATGGTGAACCACCACTCCAACGGCGACAAAACAACGCGCGGCTGGGAGAAAACGATGAACAAAGTAATCATCTCCATCTTCGTCTGCGCCACGCTCAACTTCATCAAGAAAACCATCATCCAACTCATCGCCATCAGCTTCCACCCCCGCACCTACGCCGACCGCACCGAGATCAACAAATTCCAAACCAGCAGCCTCGTGAAACTATACGTCTACTCGCGCGAGAAAATCGTAATGAAAGGACTCCGAGTTCGAAGCCCCCTCCCCCTCCGACGAAGCCACCGGCCTCAAAACCCCTTGAAATACATCAACAAAGCCGGCAAGGGCGTAAAACAGGGCTTCAACCGCGTCGGCAACGTCGCGGGTCGAGCAGCGGGTGACTTTGCCGGGCGCGAGGTTGAATCAACCGCACAGCCGCAGCAGGTCGTTAATCAGATCCTCAGTAGCACGGCGCTGAGACGGTGGCGGATGAGGACTGGCGCCGGCGTTTGATTATAATGAGGCGGATGCGGCGTTCGGGATATTCGATAAGGATATGAATGGCGATATCAGTATGGAGGAGCTGGAGGCAGTGTGCGTGGAGATCGGGCGCGGGCGCAAGACTATTACGGCGTCGTTGAGGGATCTGGATTCGGTGGTGGGGAAGCTAGATGATCTGTTTGTGTTCATTAAGCACCCCTTTGATGTCGGGGATCGTGTTACGATTTACGGGAATACGGGGGCGATGGGGTTAGGGGATGATTACTTCGTCAAGGAGATTGCGCTCTTATTCACCGAGTTCAAGAAGGCGGAAGGACACGTCGTGCAGGCGCCTAACAGCTACTTGAATACGCTGTTCATACTGAACCAGCGCCGCAGCGGTGGACTCGCGGAGGCGGTGCCGGTGACGATGAAGTTTGGGACGACGATTGAGCAGTTGGAGGGGTTGAGGGTGGCGCTGTTGGAGTCTGTGGGGACGGAGAGTAGGGAGCATCAGAATAATATTCTGACGGAGCTGAAGACGGTGTATGAGGCGTACAGCACTAGTAAGAATGTTGTCTTCTTTTATAAGAGTAACTGGCAGGCGTCTGCAGAGACGGAATAAATTCATCTGCGCGCTGATGGTTGCTATGCAAGGTTCATCATACCCCCCTCTTTCGCCCCTTCCCCCTCCTCCCACTTTTCCCCCTCACACCCTCTCCCCCATTTCCCCAATAACAAAAACTAACACCCCCCAGACCTCGGCATCGAAGGCCCCCGCCGCACTTGGGCTGGCCCAAACCCAGAAGCCTCCGTCTACATGTCCTCGCACCCCTACCGTCGAGCACCCCTTCTCCCCCAGCTCGCACACCGGCTCCAGACCCATCCCCGTCCGCTCCCACACCAGCGCCTCTCAATCTCCCTCTCACCCATCGACGATCCCTGAGGTGCCGACAAAGCTTGGCAGTTATCCTTCGATTCTGCGGCAGCGCGGGAGTACCAGGGCTGGGAGTGCGAGGGTCGCCGGGATCAGAGGAAGGAGAGTATGGGACAGATGAGTAAGAAGGTTGATTTCTCGTTGGGGATGAGTGGGATTAGTAGTGGGGCGGATATGGGGGATATTTATGATAAGCCGAAGGTGCGCGTCCCTGTGTCGTTCCGCGAAGCTGAAGCGGAAGATGAGGAAGAGAAGGAGGGGGGGAGGAGAAGTGGTGGCGGTGGTGGGGATGGAGCGAGTCTTGGGAGGACGGGGAGTAGAGAGAGTGGGAGTGTGAGGAGTAGGAGTAAGGAGGGGGGGTTGTTTGGGAGGAGGAGTAAGGAGGCGGTGTCGCCGGGGGATTTGGAGGCACAGGTTGGCAGGAGTGGAGTGCAGATGAGTGAGCTTGCTGGGGCGGGCGAGGGGTAACATTTGGCGGGATCCCGGAGGTGCCTAGTTGTGGGGAACGGGGAGAAGGAGAGGGAGAGAGGGGGGAGAAGAGGGAGAGGGGGAGGGCGGGGAGTAGGGAGGAGTTGATTGGGGAGGAGGGGTGGGAGGGGGAGAAGAAAGAGTGAGGTGGTGAGTTGGTCAGGGATACTTGGGAGGTTGAGGGATTTTTGGGTTGGGTGGAGGTGATATGTAGGTTATTGAACCTGAACCCGAGAAACCTGGGGGCTGCTCTGCTCATTGATGGGTTCCGAGGTTGGGCTCTGAACTGGATGGGATGGGTAGAGATAGATGGCTGGTTATATAGAATGTCACAATATGGATAGATTTTTATGATATATGCCCTATACACATAACATACTATGATATATGCCCTATACACATACATACATACCTGAAAGCAAGCTTCGGGCTTGAAGGTGCTGGCGTGTCGTAGCTATAGACGTGGTGGCACTACGTCGACTTCCAAGACAGGACCATGGAGTGTCGGTCTGTACTCGGTAAGCTGTCTTATCAATCTGTTTAGTAAGGAAGAGAGTCGGTGAGGTGAGTATGTATGTGTATGTCATGGCGGGCGTAAGTGGTGGGGAGGGAGGCGGGTAAGCGGGAGGGAGGGAGCCACGTTCTGGATCGATTGGTGGGACGGGGGTTAGAGGCGGTGTTGGTGTTGTATTGTAGTGTAGATGGTGGTGAGTACTGTGGTTGAAGTGTAGTTGAAATCCAAGAGGCGTTAGGGATCGTAGTAGGGTTGGAGGAAGGGAGAGGAGGAAGGGAGAGGAGGAAGGGAGAGGAGGAAGGGAGAGGAGGACGGGAGAGGAGGAAGGGAGAGGAGGAAGGGAGAGGGAGGAAGGGAGAGGGAGGAAGAGGGAGGGAGGACAAGGAGGGAATGGACGGGGAGGAGGGGGGTGATGTGATGGTTGATGATGGCCTAATCTGGTAATTGTGAAGCTGGAGTGGATTATACTTCTAGACTTCCCATCTCGACATTCACCTCGTCCACGTCGCGTCTTCATTCGTCTGTATTGCCCGTACTGGTACTCTCCTCCTACCCCAATCTACCCCAATCTACCCCAATCTACCCCAATCTACCCCAATCAACCCCCCAACCACCCACTAAACATCCCCGTCTAGCACCCAACCACCACTAAACATCCCCGTCTAGCACCCAACCACCCACTAAACATCCCCGTCTAGCACCCAACCACCCACTAAATATCCCCGTCTAGCACCCAACCACCCACTAAACATCCCCGTCTAGCACCCAACCACCCACTAAACATCCCCGTCTAGCACCCAACCACCCACTAAACATCCCCGTCTAGCACCCAACCACCCACTAAACATCCCCCGCTACCACCCAAGCCACCACTCACTAACAACAACCTACCCACCGCAACCCTCAACCCACCAACAACCACCAACCACCACCGACAACCACCAAAAACCACCGAAAAAGCCTCACTACCGCGTTTCATCTCCCTTCGATCTGCAAAAACCCACGCAGAGAGCTTACATCGACGAGGGTACCACGATCTACATTATTGCGCCCACCACCGCTGCACATCGATCCTATTCGGACCTACCCTATACGACTACTGTGAAGAAGAACAGGGAACGGGAACAGCTTTGCGCAGGTACGGAGTACAGTACAGTCAGACACGACAGGGAGACACAGACGACACAGAGGTACCGACTACAGAACGTACAGACGCTACATCGGCTTTTCTTTGATTGACACAGATTGATTGCTGCTCTCCCACCGCCACTTCCACTTCCCACCTCTATCTCTCGCTCCTTCCCCATCCCGCCCATATCGCCTCCTCGAGAGCTGGCGAGACCACGGGAACCCTAAGAGACCCGAGAGCGAGAGAGCTCCAGCACAGCGTGCACGTGTACCGTGTAACCCCAAGAACCGGGCACCCACCCGAGGAGCCAGCGAGCCCATAACTACAGCCGATCCACGCCACGAACGTGACTGAGCAGCCCCCTCCTGCCAGCACCCAGTCCCCACGAAACACGCTCCCAGACCAACACAGCAACACGCACCAAACACCCGCGCAAGCCCGCCGACGAACCAATCCGCCACACGGCCCTTAGATGCGCCCCCCATGGCGAAGCCCCTCTCGGAGCCCGCCCACGCCCCGGGCGGCGTACAAAATGGCGCCCGGCCCCCCGCCGCTGCCGCGGGGAACTCGTCCCGTGGACTCCTCCCTCAGCGCCGCGCCACCTCGTCGAGTCCACTGACGAAATTGCTCGCCCCGACGTACGAGGTGGACGAGACGACGGCGGATGGTGCTGTGAACGCCGACGCTGCGGTAGGGGACGACGCGCTGCTGAATAGGGCGCAACGGGAACACTTGCCGAGAGAAACGAAAGATATGGCGGCGCAGACGATGCGCCCGCTCTCGCTGCCGCAACAGGCGGCGAGGTATAATTTACATGATATGAATATTAGCAGCGTTAACGCGCTGCTGCACGACCACCGCGCCTTCATGCGCGTGCGCGGCAACTCGCTGGAGCGCACCTCGCGCGAGAAGATGGGCACCACCACGGCGAGCTTAGCGCAGCGAGACGTCAGCGGAGGTGCAATGACGAACCCAGGCGACACGGGGTATACGTATACGCGACCCGCTACCGACGGCGAGGGGATCGCGCCGGGGGACATCTCGGAGCGCCCGCCGACGGAGGGGTTTAGAGCCGATTACCGCAGCTGGAGGGATGGGCAGAGGATGCCAGGCGCGGGAATGGCGTGGAGTATTGGCGATGAGGCGCTCAGTCCGGGAGAGGATGGGCAGGTGGAGAAGTCGATTACGCAGGCGCTGGCGGGGGAGACGCATAATAGTCGCAGTCGGAAGTCGAGTCATAGTGTGAGGTTGTTTAAGGAGGGGTTGCCGGATGAGACGGCGAGGAGGAGTCGGTTGAGGGATGAGAAGGGGGCGGCTGGGGAGGGTGCTGGGGAGGCGCAGACGAAGGGGGAGGAGAAGTTGTCTCCTATTGCTGGGTCTATTGAGCAGACTCCTGCGGAGGATGTGTCGGACAGCTATTTTGATTTACCGGTAGCTGAACCGACGAGCACCACGCCACCGACCTCGCGGCATCACGCTGTCGCAGGGAGGATGAGCAGAGCGAACACAACCAGGAAATCCGACGAGCCACCGCGGCGACCAGAGCGACAAAACACACTCCCCGCACAACTCCTCGACGACCTCCGCAGCCGCCACAACCTCACCCCCGCCGCCACCAAAGGCTCCTCCTTCTCCAACAGCATCCCCCTCACCGACTCCGAGCGCCAATCCACCGCCGATCTGAGCATCAGCGTGCCCTCCGACGACAGCACGGCGCCGGCCACCTCGGGCGACGAGAAGCCGCGCATCGAGTCGCCGAACTCGGACGAGGAGTCCAGCGAGGAGAAGATCTCGTCCGCGCTGTTTGTGCCGCATCAGTCGTCGCGAGAGCCGGGGGATGAGTCTCCGCATAATACGCCGCCGTGTCGGGAGCCGTTGAAGGATCGCAGAGAGAGGGGATTGGAGGAGGAGCAGTGGCTGGTGGAGCATGAGGTTGCGCCGCATGAGGTGGTGGAGCAGGATGTTACGCCGGCGAATTTGTCGCCGGAGCTTGTGAGTCCGAAGTCAAGGTCGGCGTCGGGATTCTTCTCGCAGACGTCGAGTAATAGGCTTAGTTCTAGCGATGCTAGTTATCCGTCTGCGGAGGGTGAGGAACAGGTTCCTGTCACGCAGGAGCAGGGTGAGGATGTCGATATTACTTCCACGGAGCGGAGGCCGTCATTGCAAGAGTACACTGTGAAGACGCGCGAGCGCGCACCGACACAGGACTCGGCGCAGCAGCAGCCGAGCCCCAAGGCGGCCGGGCCGCTCGAGGCTATCGAGCTCATCCCATATAAACACCAAGTCGGCGGCCACACGACGCTCTGGCGCTTCTCGAAGCGCGCGGTGTGTAAACAGTTGAATAATCGCGAGAATCAGTTTTACGAGACGGTTGAGCATTATCATCCTGCGCTGTTGAAGTTCATGCCGAGGTATGTTTTCTTTTTATTTACTCACCCGCCCGGTCCTCCCCAGTGCCCCCCACGCTGCTGGCGGCTTGAAGCTGAGCCCCAGAAGACACGCTCTTGCACACCGCCTTGTTGTTCGTGTGCGTGCGTTGGAGAGCGTGTGTGCTAATGGGATTATTCGTAATTTAGGTACATCGGCGTCCTAAACGTCACCTTCGAGAAACAACTCAAGCGCAAACCAACCATCAAAAACGCCGGCGCCGCCGAGCTCAGCGCCGCCAAAGCAACAGCCTCCCAGAACGGCACCTTACCCTCTCTCGGCGACACAAACGGCATTCGTCCCCGCGTCATCAGTCAGTCCCTCGCCACCGGCCCCATCGCGACGCCTACAGTCACCTTTGCGGATAACCGCCACATCATCCCCAAGAGCTTCATGCAAGGCGGCCCCATCCCGGTCACCGAGACGCCGTATAAATCCCTCTCCGACTCCAACATCCACGTCTCCCCCGACCACAAGCCGGGCCGCGGCACCTCGGAGCCTGTTAATGGGGAGCGTCCGACGCTTTCGGATCGCCATGCTGTCAGCTGGGGCGCGACGACGGTGAATCGCAAACTCCGCTATGAGGTCTTTGGCGAGGCGTTCCTGCGACAGCCGGTGCAGGTGCAGCCGCATAAGAAGCCGGGACAGCATCACCTACGCCGTGATTTGGCGCATAGAGCCGTGCCGCCGGTGTTGAGGGCTACGACGTCGGATTCGAATTTGAATCTGGGAGGGAGGGAGGGGGAGGAGGATGTGTCGCTGAGGATGCAGGCTATTAAGGCGGCGGCGTTGAGGAGGGGCGGGGTGGATGGGGGGAGTCCGACGAAGATGGGGAGGGGGGTTGCTATTCCGACCGCTCCTGGAGGGGGTGCTGGCGGTGCCCACGGTGAGGCCGTTGCGGAGGCGAGGAAGGGGGAGAATGGCGTATTGAGCGATGAAGAGGAGTTCGCGGAGCAGATTGGCACGAGTGCTCCTGAAGCAGAAACGGTCGCCCCTGTCGAGACACCGAAGGGGAAGAAGAAGAGACGGTATAGCAGTGGTGGACTTCGCCGCAAGCCGGAGGAGGGGGGACAGGACAGGGGGAGTCTGAAGTACTTCGCTGAGGCGGATGATCCGGGGTATACTGGTGATGCGGAGGAGGATGTGTTTGCTATGGACCCGGATGTGGTCATACCCGCTACGCTGCAGACGACGACTTCTCTTCCGACGCTGCCGATTATTCAGGACCCACCCCACCACATGATCGTCGAACATCCGGTTGATACAGATATTATTCCTACTGCCACCGATGCCCCTACCCCACCACCACTCCCTGTCCTTCCGCGCCCCGCAAACCCGAAGGAGGCGCAGACGCAGACGCAGCCGGATTCCCGCGTGGAGTATTTCCTGCTTCTGGAAGACCTAACAGCGGGGATGCGGAGACCGTGCATCATGGACCTAAAAATGGGCACCCGCCAATACGGCGTCGACGCCGACTCCGCCAAGCAAGCCTCCCAGCGCCGCAAATGCGCTGCTACGACCTCCCGCGCGCTCGGTGTGCGGGTGTGCGGCTTGCAGGTGTGGGATCGTGAGAGCCAGGGGTATATATTCCAAGACAAGTATTACGGTCGGGATCTCACCGAGGGAGAGGGGTTTAGGGGCGCGTTGAGACGGTTTTTGTGGGATGGAAAGAGGGGGGGGGAGGAGGAGCTGAGGAGGAGGGTGAGGAGGCTTGTGGAAAGGATTGGGAGGTTGGAGGTGCTGATTGGGGGGTTGGAGGGGTATAGGTTCTATGCGGCGAGCTTGTTGATGTTTTATGACGGGGCTAGTGAGGAGGAGATTGTTGCTTCTACCGCCACCGCAGCCGCCGCCGCAACTGCTGCTGCGAATGGCGCACCACCACCTCCACCAACCGTTGACCCCGACCAACCCCCCCGAAGAGGTCGCGATATAGACTTTAAGATAGCGGATTTCGCAAACTGCGTCACGGCGGAGAATGGAGGGGTTGGGGGGGGGTGGGGAGGAGGTGTCCGCCGAGGCATCCGGGGGAGCCGGATAGAGGGTTTTTGAGGGGGTTGAGGAGTTTGAGGAGGTATTTGGGGGAGATTTTGGGGGAGGTGGGGGGGGATATTGATGGGGATGGGGAAGGGGATGAAGGGGGGACAGGTGGGATGGTGCGGGTGGGGGGGGTGGATGTGGAGGAGGGGGAGGAGAGCTTTTAGTGCTCCGCTGAGGGGGGTTGGGGGAATACGTGGAAGTGGTGCGCTGCGGTGCGCGCTGGCTCGGCATCGTTGGTGCTACGATAACCATCCCTCTGTCTACCCCAATCACATCCCCCACGCCTACGGAAGAGGAAATGTGTGACGACTCGACTCAACTCTGAATTTCTCGGCGCCTTTTATTTTTTATTTTTACAACTGTCTGTTCTTGTTTATTCGTTGTCTTGTCTGGGCTTGGGCGGGATTGCTTTAGCGCTGATGTATGGAGATGAGAATACGAATGAAAGGTGGGAGAGGAGGATGGATGGGGGGGAGGGGGGGGGTATACCCTGCATGGGATGGCGCTTGTACTTTTGTTTTTGGGGGGGTTGGTGGTAGGCTTTTTTTTTGTGGGCTAGATTGGTAGGGTAGATTGGTTTGGGATTGGGGGGGTAGGATAGTAAAATGGATGGTTTATGTATACTTTTGTGATCTGAAGCTGTAACCGTCTGACCTCAAATAAGTAACTGAGACGAAGAATTAATGGGCCAAAAAAAACTCATGTACGAAAGTCTATATACGCGCACCCCCCCATCCCTATCCAAAGTCTTTTTTTCCCCCCTTCGGCCTTCCTTGGTTGATCTATCTATTCATTGCTTCATGTTGAACATTCCCTTCCCTTCCCACCCCTCTTCACCCACATACCCCTGGGCGCAGCGCAAAGTGATTGTCTGTGACTTGTGAAAACCTACGGGAACGTGATGGATGGCCGGTCTCAGATGGGGGTTACGACGCCCGAGACTTCGGCTTTGGTGGCTTCTACTGCGGCTTCCATTGCTGCGGGGCGGGCGGCTTGGTTTTGTACGAGGCGCTGTTTCTTCTATTAGCACACATCCATCCATACATACACACCTTCAGCCCTCGGTCCCCTCCCCAAAAAATACAAAAGAGTAAAAAAGACGCAGAAAAAAGAAGACATACCAACTGATTCCTCAACAGCACCGCAATAGTAACCTTCCCAATCGCCGGCACATAAATACTCGCCTTCTCCTTCACCGCCACCCCATCAAAATTCCTCTCGCTCGAGAAATTCACACACACCGCCCCATCCCTAATCAGCTCCGTCGGCACCTTAAACTTCTCCCCCGGCACCCCGCTGATCACCACATCGCTGATCGGCAAGCAGTCCTTTAGCTCCCATCCCGGTTTCTCGTGCACGGCGTGGTGGGAGCGTTTTAGGCCTGTGCCGCGCGTGAAGAGTTGTACGTCTGCTATGTCGACGGAGTACACGGTGGCGCCGTCGTTGGCGAGGAGGGCGGCGAGGGGGCGGCCTACTACTTCGGAGCGGTTTATTACTGTGATTGTGCGGCCGTGCAGGCGGTTGCCGTAGGGTAGGATGGTATTGTACACCCCGAGGTGCTCGAGCACCTTCACAGCCGCTAACGGGGTGCAAGGCAGGATGGACTTCAGCGTCTTCGCAGGGTCGAGGAACCGGATGTTCTGGTAGAGGTTGAAGACGTAGCGGTGGGCGAGGCCTTCGACGTCCTTGTCGAGGGCGACGAGCTGTTGGATGTAGCGGTCCTGCGTGGGGCCGAAGACGGGGTAGTAGACGAGGATGCCGTTGATGAGGGAGTTGGTGTTGGCGGATTGGATGGCGTCTTCGAGGGTGTCTTTGGTGACGGTTTGGAGGTCGAAGGAGAAGCCGCTTTGGGGGGGGGGGTTAGTGGGTGTTTTTGGAGAGGGGGTTTCTACTTCGCGTGGTGATTTAGGGGGAACTTATAACATGAAATCGTGGTGGTTTGAGAGGGGGACTTATAAAACGAAATGGAGGGGTGAAAGGAGAACCACGTGATGGCGGGGCATATGTTTGAAATAGAAAGAGACATGACGAAACCAAAAAAAAAGCGGCTCACTCACTTCTCAATACAAGTCTTAGACGACCAATCCGCATACATTTTCGCCGCCGGATCATCATTGGCCAAAAGCCCAATCACACGTGGTTTGGTCTTCAGCGTCGACAGGCCCTCTGCCACCTCAGCCAAGAGGCCCTTTGCGATGCCCCCGGCGAGGACGACCTTGCATGTTGGCGGGAGCTCGGCGCTGGCCATGGCGGATGATCTGGAGGAGGGGGGGGAGGGCGAGAGGGAAGTGCTGGTGGTCTGGGGGGTTGGGTTGGGAGATATTTATTTCTGGATGGGAGCAATTTTAGCGCGGGGTTTGGCGGGGTATTGGAGAGAGGGAAAATTTGGGGATTGGGAGGATATTTACCAGAATCGTTCTTGCCGGATTTATGGAGCAGTGAGTTTGAAGGGGGGAAAAAAGGTACAGATTTGAATAGTGGCGGGGCGATTATGATATTTAGTACAGTAGCTCTTTTTGTGTCGCAGTTTATCCCGGGCTCATAAGTTTTATATTGGGGATGCAGGGACGTCACACAAATATAGGAAATTCACTAATCGCGGTCATGTGATAGCGCGGATCATTCGCGTCACTGCCTATCGACATCGCGGGTGATGGGCAACAACAAATTGCGAAATCAATCAGTCGCGCAGGATCGCGATTAACGACTTCAATTGCTCACGAGGGTTTTTGGGAGTGGAAAAAGGTGTCTGTCCATATTTTGGCTACAGCGATTGAGGCCCGCCTTTGTAAGGGTAAACAAAGGACGCCATGCCTATCGAAGTCATTGACCTCTTGTCGAGCTCGAGTCCGCCTCCTCGAGCGCCGATTGTGCGCCCGAGGAACACGTATAAGGCGCCCCTAGAGGCGGCTGCAAGGCTCGCCAAAGTTGCAGGGTCGGACACTGTGTCTGTGGCGGCCAAGGCGAACGCAAGTGGTACCGGGGGTAAGAGGAGCGATTCGTACGAACGCTTTAAGAGTACAGTCCGTGGAAAGGCGCAGGAGTGGATAGGTCTCGACGACGAGGATGTGTCGACGTTGCCAGCTGTTGTTTCAGAAGCAACGCGCAGCCCACCCGTGAGTACTGGTTGGGACTGGAGCAAGTTACCAGTTGAGCCAGAATCCGCATCACCGGTCTCCAAAAGGCCACAGCATAATGATTTTATGTTTCTTTCCGACGATTCTCTTGATTCCGGCATCGCAGACACGTTGCGCCCACCCGCAGACTTACACCCTCCCCCAAGCAAAAGGCAGAGAGTGACGCCAGAACCCGCGACGCTGCCTCCGTTGAAGGATAAAGGTTTTCGGAGAGTCGTCTCGGATATTTCAGCCGCGCCATCGTATTCCAAAACCACTACTGGGCCACCGAAGGCGAGTGGGTTGAAGAGGTCGGCGACGAGTGTTTTTGACGATGATCCAATCACGTTTACTTCGTCGCCGGATTTCCTGCAGTTGGCTGAGGAAAGGAGGCGTCAACGGAGGCGAGAGGTTGAGCGTGGAGAGGATCTATCTGATATTGAAGAAAACAGACCTGAAAATACTGTTAGTAAGGCGGCGGTGGATGTGTTCGACGACGATGACTCGGATTTTGACTTACCGGATATCGCTGTGATGGCCTCCCAGGTTGCATCCGGTCAAGTATCCGCGATTGCTCGTGCTCCTGCTGCGTATATCGCCTATAAACCTGGCAGCGGCAAAAGTGCTGCAAAAGTTGATAGACCCACACGTGTCGTCAAAACTGCAGAACAGAAGCAGGCCGAGAAGGAGGCTGAAGCTGAGCGTAAACAGCTGGTTCGGGAAGGTAAGGCGAGAGACAAACAGATTGCGGCGGATCTAGCAAAGGTCAACACCCTGCGCATCGACAAGAAAGTCGCAACACCCGAGATGATTGCGGTGTTCCCATCTAGCCTCGATGAGAAGCTCAGGCAGCAGGCCGAGGGGTTCTTTGGGAAGATAGGAGTTAACTACCAGGAGTGGGATTGTAGTGGCACCGTGCAAAACGTGCTACGGTGGAAGAGAAAGGTGGATGCAAAGTACAACGAAGCAGAGGGACACTGGGAACCTGTACCTTCGGTGGTTGAAGACGAGAAACACGTCCTTTGCTACATGCCAGCCGCTGAATTCGTGGCTCTCGGAACGAACGAGGAGGGGAAAGATCTCGGCTCGCACGTGCTAAGGATGAAGGCGCGGTTTGATGGGTTCGAGATAATCTATCTTATTGAGGGTCTGACTACGTGGATGAGGAAGAATAGGAACGTGAGGAATCGCCAGTTTACGGACGCGGTGAGGCGGCAGATGGGTGAGGAGGAGGGGGGAACGAGCTCCCAGAGGTCGAGGAAGAAAGCTGCGGAGTATGTTGATGAGGATATGATTGAGGATGCGTTGCTGCGGCTGCAGGTTATTCATGGCGTTTTAATTCATCACACAACTGCTCTGGTGGAGACGGCGGAGTGGTTCGCGGTATTTACGCAGCATATTGCTACCATCCCCTATCGGTAGGTCTACCATCACCTCATATTAGGCACAATAACTAACATCCTAAAGCCGCCAACGTATGGCCCTCGATACAGCCTTTTGCATGGAGACCGGGCAGATCAAGACCGGCGAGGACGCACCGGATACCTACGTCAGGATGCTCCAGGAGGTCAATCGCGTGACGGCTCCTATTGCGTACGGAATTGCAGCGGAGTATCCGAGTGTCAAGACGCTGGTTGACGGCCTGAAGAAGGAGGGGAAGGATACCTTGACGCATGTGCGGAAGAGCGCGAATAAGGATGGGGTGTTTACGGACAAGGAGGTTGGGAAGAGTGTTAGCAAGCGGGTGTGGAGTATTTTCACGGGGACGGACGAGGGAAGCACTGATGTTTAGTTGGGTTACGGCCAGCTCCTTGGGGCACTCTTGCCGCCCAAACGTATGAAGAGGATTAAAACCGGCATTTAAGATAGTAGAATTCATCTCTTCAGCTTCATTTGATGTGTACAATTATGTATTCCAAAACCATGCCAATTCTAGTCTATCCGACAGCATCATCCAATACATCATACACGCCCATTCATTATCATCTCACCCCACCTACGCCTTCACACTCTGCAGCAACCTATCCTCAACCCCATCCAAAATATACTCATGCGCCATGACCTCGATATTCTCCGCCTCGCCCTGGAACATCTTATCCGGATCCGCACCGGGCCCCATCATATTCGCCCCTGGCGGCGGCCCGCCCATCTGCTGCTGCGCCATCTGGCTCGCCGCGTTGTCGCTGCCGAGGAGGTAGATGAAGACGGTCTGTAGGCCGAAGAGGCAGATGAAGTACAGCGAGATGGAGGACACCCAGCGGGCGTCAAGGTCGCGCGTAGCTACGCCTGCCTGGAGCATCTGTTTGAACTTTGGGGTGATGGGGAAGGGGAGTTTCACTGGGGGGTGTTAGTCTAGCTGCTGCTCCGATTGATGGGAGGCGGGGGGAGGACGAACAAACGACGAATCCGCTGAAGAATGCGTTGATCCACCCCATGATGAGAGTCTGCGGCACGATCATCGTCATATTCCCCTTCATCATCCCCATCATGCCCTCCATAGCCGCGGGGTCAGTCATTGGGTTCGCAGGCGGCTGGCCCTTAGCGTCGGGGTTCTTGAGGTATGCACCAGACTGGAAAGCGGAGACGAGGGTGTTCTTGCGTGCCTGGAAAGCGACGTCGGAGATGACGGCTGCATTCTGGCGGAAGGTGATACCACGCTGGAGGGAGCGCTGCTCGCGCAGCGAGGGGAGGTCGAGTTTCTTCGGCGTCGAGGAGATGAGGACTGTGACGTAGTGGCGTAGGACACCGGTTAAGATCTTGAAGGGGGAGGTGTTAGATTGTGTATGTGTGTCTGAGGTGGGCAGTTGGGGGGGGGAGGGTATATGTACCATAACCGTGATGATGGGGAAGAGGATCCATATGCTACATCAAGTCAGCCCAGCAAATCTCGGCGCCGCGCCCGCCCGTTGCCAACTCACAATAACTGGGGATCCCTTCGGATCGTCTGCACAACCGCTTGCGCCATGATTGACTTGTTTCTGCGGCAGCGACGAGGGAGGGTGGTGCTGCTGAAGGTTTCTTGTGGTGGCACAGGGGTGACGTTGAGAGTAGTTTTCGTCTAGCTAAGCGGAGCCTTCCACGTCACTGGCGTGTCCTAAAGCCAGATCGTCGGAAACGCCAACGCGAGTTGTCAGCCTCGTCTCGTGGTGGAAAGTCGCGCGCGCTGAGAACTTGACACGAATAACAACAATTCTAGAAGTTATGTCGGATCCAAATGCGAAGATCACGGTGCATTCACTGTCAGGTACGCTATTTGCAATTCTAACTCCTCCAAAATCACTACACCACCACTATTTCCCCTTCCAACTCTCACCCCCCAAGCTCCCCAGCACATCCACCTGTCAAACCACCAAACTAACCAACCCCCCCAGACCTCAAAAACACCTCCGACGACGCAATCCCCAACTACCTTAACTCCCTCTCCTTCACGCAATCTCACACCCTCGGCGACGTGCGCCTCGCGCTCGGCTACTCCGCCTTCGCCATCTGCGCCGCCTGCTTCTGCTGGGACTACAAGCTCGGCTTCGAGTCGACAAAGTACTACTCCGCCGCCGCCGTCACGCTTTACACGCTTCTGAATGGCGCGTTGACGCTGTGGGTTTGGCTCGTGGAGGCGGGGACGGTGTATGTTGGGACGAGTAAGGCGGGCGATAAGGTAAGCTGTCCATCTCCCCATTCCCATTCCCATTCCCATTCCCACCCCCCATCCCCATCACCTCCCGTCACCCATTACCCCCTCCCCAAACTCACCACCACGACCCAAACTAACAACACACAGATCGCCATCTCCACATCAACCAAAAAACACACCCCAACCTACACCCTAACCATAACCTCCCAATCCGCCTCCGCCCCCACCGCCACAACCACAACCCTCTCCTGCCCCTTCACAGACTGGTTCGACAGCGCAGGCCACTTCGTCGCGCTGCCGTTCCAGCAGATGCTCGCCGGCGCCGCTCCCGTGATAGGGAAAGCGGATCCAGGGCGTGCCAGTGCGGGGGGTGCGGGGGCGGGGGTCGCGGCGTTGAGGGAGACGGTTGAGGAGGCTGTGAGGGCTAGTGGGAGTGCCGTAGCTGGGGGGGAGGGGGCGAGGGGGAGGAGGAAGAAGGCGTAGATGTGGATAGGGTTTGGAGAGACTTAAGGGCGGGGGGGGGGCTGGCGTTGAGGGAGGGGGAAGGGAAAATGGGTTGGGCTTGGGGTACTGCTCGCGCGGTCGGGATTGGCCGGGGTGAAGAGTAAGTGTTTTGTTAGCAATCATACTGTTTACATGGAAAAAATCTGGACTCTGATGAGCTGTTCTCATAGGCATTGCGACGTCTGCTTGCTAGTTGGGTGAAGTGCGTGTATTCATATCTATCTCTCTATCTCCGTTTATCATCCGGCTATGCACCAGCTCTCTATCCCAACCAGCAACGCCCCTCAATGCAACCTCCAATCTATCATCCAATACCAGTCCCCAAGACCCAATCTCCGCATCTCTCCATCCCAATCCCAATCCCAATCCCACTCCCACTCCCACTCCCAACACCCCTCCACACCCTCTCAATTCCCCTCCCCCTCCCCAACCCTCCACCAAGCACTCAAGCAATCGACCCCCCCTCGCCTCACCTCCCTCCCCCCATCCCCCACCACGGACCCCAACCCCCTCACCACCCCCCCCTCAACCTGACCACAACAGCAACCTCCCACACCTTTGGCAAAATCTCAAGGCACTCCAGCGCGCGCACCTTCACTTCCCTGCTTTCCGTTCCGGTAGCACACGCCAACAACCTCTTCACCAGCGCTGCATCGTGCTCTTGTAGCGCCCTTGGGCTACTCGTTGCAGCGGAGCGCAGAACTGCAATGGATGCCTTTTTTGTGGACGCGGGGGAGGAATCAAGGGATTGCAGGAGTGGAGGGATGAGGGATGGGATGAAAGGCGTGATATACTCTTCTGGTGCGTGGGCTAGGAGGCCTGATAGCGCAACCAGAACATTCGTCTTTGTTGGCCCCGACGTGCTGGTAGAGGAGAAAGTGGACAGAAGTTCCGGGACAGCGGTGTGGAAAAGTCGCTGTTGCGCGAGAGGGCGGATGAGAGCGTGTTGTCGACGCGTGAGGAGGGGTGAGGGGGCGAGGAGGTGGGTGAATGCTTGTGCGGCTAACTGACCCGTTGGAGCGGGGAGGGAGAGCGCGGTTAGGAGAGCGGTGGATAGTTGTGTAGCCACAGGAAGCCCGGCGAGGAGGGAGGCATGCGTGCATGTCGTCAAAGTCTGGATCGTTAACTTCGCTTCCTGCGCCGGCAGCGTGGGGAGGGTAGTGAAGCGACCCAGAAGTTGTGCTGTTACAGCCGGAGTGAGGGCCGCGAATTTGTTGATCAGGAGGGAGAGGATGTCGAGGAGGGTAGAGCGGAGGGAGGGGGTGCAGGCGGTGGTGGTGAGGTAGGTGATGAGGTTTGTGGCGGCGGCGGTGGTGTTGATGGTGAGGATTCGCTTTTTGACGGGAAGAGTTGCTGGTGGTGGGCCGGTGACGATGACGGCGGCGGGTTTGGTGATGCGGTTGTCACGGCGGAGGGTGGCGAGGATGTACTTAGTCAGGGTGAGAACGTGAAGTTTATCGGCGGGGCCGGACAGAAGGTCCAACTGCGCGTCGAGGATGTCCACACGCTTTGATATGTCGGTGGTGGCGGAGAGGTCGTCGTCGGGGAGGTCGTCCGGTGAAGTCACGGCGACGCAGGCGGCGGTGAAGTCATCGTACGCGACGCTCAAAGCAAATGCTCTCTCAAAGATCCAATACTGCTCATCAAAGCCCATACCGGAAGTGGCAGCCATGATGATTCTCCCCACGACCTCCAGAAACGTGTCATCAGGCTGCGCCTTGCCACCTGCGGTCTCCAAATCACGGGTCCCGACATACCACTTCTTCGCATTCACCTTGAGCGCTGCAGTGCGACGGAGTAGTTCATCAACAAGACTGCGATAGCCCTCCTCATCTCTCATCGCGACCTCACCATTCTCACTCTGCGCCTGCCTCTGCTCGACCGCGTATAAGATCCCTGCAAGCACCAGGTGTCCATACTTCTGTGTCTCGTTCGCACGAACGACGATATCCAATTTGCTTAACAATCTCCGCAGGAGCGTGTCCATAACTCGTCCCCTAGACCCAATATCTCCCAGGGCCTGAAGCACAGCGAGTTTGTCCGCAACTGTCTCCCCGCCTTCCAAAACATCCGGCAGCGCAGCCAGGAGCACGGGGAACGCCTGCTCAGTAACCAAACTGGTATATGCCACCGCGCACTCCTGCAGCGCCTTGATTGCCTCTTTTCTCACCGGCTCCTTCACATCCGCCGTCTCGAGCACAACGCCGGCCAAAAACTGGACATACGAGTCCAAACTCCCCTTCTCCAGGAACTGCGGCAGCCTCAGCAGTTTCGCTAGGCCCTGCATGGCCGCAACACGGAACTGCTTGTCATCGCACTGGGTATCCCTGGCGACACCCATATACATCGCCGTCAGCTCGTCGCGGTAGTATCCAAGTCCCTTGTTCGAAACGCCTACGTCCCCTCCAGCCTCCGACGCGCGGTCAGCGTCAGAGCTGATGCCGTCAATGATCCCCACGGAGCTGAACTCCCACTTATCCTGTCGTCTCAACGCCTCAAATTTGCCATCAAGAAGCAAATTGATCGTCTCGACCACCGCACGCTTGTCGGCTACACTCGCATCCCTCCCGCCAAACTCTTTCAACAGCTCCGGCAGCGCGGCGCGCATGACGAGATGATACGCGAATGGCGACGCGGCAATGATAGATGCCATGATCGCGCCGGCGCTGGCGGAGTACTTTGGGCCATTCTCGCGCAGGCGCGTCATGCACTCATCGACAATGGCGGTTACGTATTCCTGCAGGACGGTGCCGACGAGGTTCTGGATGACGAGGTCACCTGAGAGGCGGGTAGCGATGGCGCCGAGGACGTCCAGGGCTTTAGGGGCTTGCGAGTCATCGCTTGAGTTAAAAATTTCGTATTTCAGCGCGTCCCAAAGGGGGCTGCTCCATTTGGAGACGGTGGTTGGGTGGTAGCGTTCGATGCACGCTTTCATGGTTAGGAGGACGTCCGCTTTGGCGTTCAGACGATTCGGGTCGTCGAGGCGTTGGATGAGGTTCGGGAATATCGACGGAGCGAACCCGCTATACGCTGCGAAGCATTTCCTTAATCGCACGACGAGCTCCGGTGGATCGATGCTGGCGGGATCACTCTTCTTCGCCGAAAAGGTAATCGGAAAGTACCGCGAGAGCATGTCATAAAGATCCTCCTTGAGATTATCGATATCATCGATATCCCACTCCGCCAGTATCACCTCCACCATCGAGAAGATGAGCATCAAGTTCCTCGGATCCCTCTCGCTCGCCGACAACTCAATCAGAATATTAATGAAATCCACACCAGTCTCCTTCATCGTATCGCGGCGCACGCTCAGCAGCTCATTAAGCAGATTATACACTTCGAATCGTGTCATCACCGGCATCTTGGCGAAGTTTCCCTGGGCGACGTTGAAAACCAGCGAGGGCAGCGTCGCCCCACGAGCGGCCTCAAAGCGCAACATCGCCACCAGGTAGCGAAGGGATTGCACGGTCTCTTTGAAGCCGCTCGGGTCGAGGCCGAGGCGTGTCTCGACGAAATTGAAGAGGAGTCGCACTGGGTGGTTGTGTTAGGTGAATTAATTTCCCTCAGAGATAAGGATAAGTAGGAAAGGAAACTCACCATTCGATCGCATCAGGGCGTCGGGTTTGAGCCCGCGCAGGATGGCTGCTACGTACTCCATGGCTATTAGTTGTCAGCTTCGCATTGCCCAATTTCAGATCATCGTTTGTGCCGGGTAAGGGGGGGCGGGTGGACGACGTACTTAATGTCTTCTGCTCGTCGTCGTTCCCGAATAACGGATCATGCAGTGAGAGCACGACATCTCCTAGTTTGGTACTCCCATCTTCGAGTCCTGCGGAAATCAAATGTCAGCTTTGCTCATGTACATACAGGTATGTGAGCCCCCATCACCACCACGCCGGCGACATCTAGGTATCCTCCCTCTCCAGAAGAACAAATCAAGCACATACCTTTAACAACACTATCCACAATCTCCATCCTCCTAGGCCCCTCAGGCGCCAACAAATACGCCGTTGCCGTGAGCGAGTCCTCCATCTTGATTGTTGGTGGAGGTGACAAGCAAAAAGGCAGTTGCAATGCGGTTGTTAAGAAATCGGAGTGATGGCGGGAAGATGGTGGATTAGTGGGGCGGGGGTTGTTACTGCCGGCGCTATGCCTGATGGAGTGGGCGGTGAGGGGAGGGGTTGTCGCCGAGACGATGTGAGAATTGGGTGGGACAGGCACGGTCCTTTCGATTCTCATGCAGCTTCGCCGAGAATTCTTATAGCTCGAGTAACTCTCCGCCGCCTTCCGCGGTCTTCCGCCATATCTTCTATTCAAATTTACGAGGTGGCAGTTTACTATTGATGCTCATCGTGGAGCTTCGCCGACAATTCTTACGGCTTGAGTAACCCTCTGCCGTCTTCCACCATCTTCCACCATAACTCTGATTACCCAAACTTCCCTCGTCTGCGGTTACTATTGCTGCTCGTGGTGGCTGTTCGGCGGGGTTTTTATGGAGTTTTTATACAATAAAGCCACTTCTCGGGGTCGGAGCTGCTGAATTTGGCAGGGCGCGGTTGCTGCTTTACGCACCCATTGTTGTAATATGTCACATGATCTCAGCACCACTTCCCCGCAATTTCAGGCAGCAATAGATAGACAGGAATACACACGCATATTACTCAACAGTTATGAGCCCGGAGCAACTCCAAGACGCATTTTGAAGCCTATAGAAACCCGAACGGACCAAAATCAAGTCCTGTGTCCTGGAGTCGAAAAAACCATCATTATGGCGACCCTACAGAAGGCGGGGGTGGTCCTCACAAGCCCTAGAGACTGGGACGAGTGGATAGAGACTATCAAAACTGCTTCAATCAAGGCAGGAGTATGGGGGTATATCGATCCATCAATCGAGGACCCTCCTACACTCCTACAGCCCGTTCGACCTATTCCTGAGTTCGTACGGAGTGCCACGCAAGCTGGTGGTGGTGTTACTGCTCAAACAAGACCTGGAGTGTCAACAAGAGCTTCAGGTAGCCAGACCATCCAACCTTCAGTAGAAGGCCAACAGCAATTAACGCCAATTACGTACGCATCTCTTACAGAAGATCAGAAGGAACAGCTTCTACAAGCTGATTTCCAATATGAGCGCAAGGTGTGGGAAAAGCAGGAGGAAGCAATTCAGGGGCTTCGCTCTAAGATCCAAGAAACCATCAAACGCGACTTCGTACCCTATACCTACAATTGCGATACTCCGTACGATATGCTTAGAAAGCTACGAGACCGGTTCGCACCTACTCAAAGAGCTAGAATCGGAGAATGGAGACTAGAATGGCAAAAGGCTGCGAAAATGCAAAGAGGCAAGGACCTTGAAGACTGGCTCCTAAACTGGGAGAATCTATACACTCAAGGCCGTACGCTACAGGCAACAGAGGTTATCGACCCTCACGACGCTATCTATACCTTCCTTGATGCAATAGGACCTTGCGAATTCCGAGGACCATGGAAACACAAGCTAGAGAAGCAGACAAAGTCGTACGAATTTGAGGAGGTCCTACGACAGTATAGAACCAACCGTAGGCAAGAGAGATTCACCCAGAAACCTAGGGGGGAACATGGAGTTTTCGCACTACAAGAGGATGACAATAGCGACCTACAGCCAACGCTCCAAGGCCGTACGAACAACCTACAACAAGGTCAGCAAGGTCAGAGAGGCAGAAAACAGAAAAATCAGGCTCGACTAGACTGCCCTTGCGGAACAACACACAAGTGGCGGGACTGCCTCTATGTGATGAAGTCAAAGCGTACGAGGCAATGGCGCCCAAATAAAGAGATTGAAGCTAAAGTAGAGGCCTATATAAGTGACAAACCAGGATTCCAGTACGTTATCCAAAAGGCAGAAGAACAGAACAATTTCAACAACCCGAATGGAGTACAATCCCGTACGAATACAGATCCACCTATGTCTTTCACTACAGTCTTCCAAGTCTCCCAAGGACTAAAGCCGAAAACCTCAGCCTATGAGCTCTCTAAAAGCATAATTCTCGACTCTGGAGCTACAATTCACGTCTGCAACGACCGTACGAGGTTCTACAATATCCAAGAATGTCAAGATAATAGCTACCTCTTAGCTGGAGACCAAAGGGTGAAGATTGATGATGATGATGATGATGATGATGATATTTATTTACGTCCAGCAGGAGGCGGGCGAAGCCTGCCACCCTGTAAAACCTCCCGAAGGGTATGGGGACGTCCTATGCTAGGGGTTTATGTACAGAGTATGACCTTAGATGGCATTTCATGCATGTGCGCATGGCCTTATTGCCAGATGTCTGAGTGCCTTCCCCGCCTGTTGGGATGGCGTCAGTTATTTGTTAGAGGGGGTAGTTCCTCTACGGATGGTCCTGGTGGTTCAGGGATGGACGTGCAGCTGGTGGCGCGCTGCTGTGGGAGGTCGAGAGGTGTGTCCTGCCGCCGTGCCGTGGGGTCGGGGCCCCATAGTGTGGTTGCAGGTTAGTGGAGTTGGGGGGGGGTGGGAGTTGTGGTGTTTTAGAGAGGGGTTATTGTGCTGGACCCCTCCAGCCAGGCTGCGTGCGCCTGCTAGTGCGATATCCTCAGGGATTGTGTCGCGTTAGGGCGCTGTCGTGGTTCAGGGTATTTCCTGGGTCGGACCCGGGAAATCACTTCAGGGGCCAGGCCTAGGGCTGGGTGCGCCCGTTGCGCGCAGCGGGCAGTTGTGCGGGCGTGGGGGGGCCTTCCAGTTCCTTTGTTCTAGTCCTGCGTGGCCTCGTCATTCCGATTTCCCCAGCCGGGCCTGGGAGAAGGTTTTGTGGGCTAGGCCTAGGGAAACGTATGCCGGTCTAGAGTAGCCGTTAGCGGGGGCATACCGTGTTAGAACTCCGTGGCCTGGAGGAGAGTGGCGAAGTCAGCTGGTTTAGCCATGAGGCGCGTGAGGTACTCAATGCCAGCGGCTGGGGTGTTTGGTCGGGCTTCTGGTCGCTGTGGCCAGTGGCGAAATTGCGGCTTCACTTGGTAAATGAGGTTCCATTTGTCATACCAGGTGGAGAGCTTAGTGCTGCACTGTGTCCACCAGGCCTGCTGTGCTTTCATCCGGAGGTCTCGGTAGACAGAGCGGATGCCGCTGGCCGTCGGCTGAGAGGCCTGGCCTATGTCGCAGGTGTCCTGGGCCCCAAGTTCTGTGAGTTTGTCTGCTGCTTCGTTGCCATGTATTCCGGTGTGGCCGGGTGACCATCGGATACCGATGTCGAAACATTGCATCGCCTCCTGGCAGGCTATGAAAGCCCATTGGGATGAGTAGGGGGCGTCGCCTCTAAGGCACCAGATGACGGAGGTGCTGTCTATGCACAGCCAGAGGCAGCGCTGGCTGATGTCTGGGGGGAGGCGGAGCGTGTGTTGTAGGGCTTTCCAGGCCCCTATCGCTTCCGCGTCGAAGACGTGCGAGAGGGGGTTGATGGCCCCGTGTCCCGAGGCAATCTGGCGGCCGTTCTGGTAGACGGCGTAGCCGTATCCCACCTTGCGGGCTCCAGAGTGCTGTTGCTCCGACCCGTCTGAGAAGATGGTGACGTCCGTGTATGGTAGGGCTGCCCACCATCGTTTGAAGTGGTTGGAGGTGGTGGTTTTGTCAAGACTGCCTGTTGGGCTGGTGCGGCACCCAGTGGTGAAGTGTGGGGGCCTTAGTATCGGCCGTGGGATGGCGGGGATGATCGTGCCGAGTTGCTGTATCTTGGTCTTTGGGCGCTGTTGGGTTCCAGCACCTCTGCCCCTGGCGATGTGTGGTGGCTGGATGCGCTGGACGAGGGGGTGACAGGCCTCTACTGTTTGGAGTCGCATTGCAAAACGGAGTTTGGCGTCCTCAAGTGCTGCCATCCCGGAGGGTAGGCCGGCGTCACGGAAGAGGGTTATAGTTGGTGTAGTTCGCCAGACGGGGAGGACACCTCTTGCAGCTAGGGCGATAGTCTTCTCGACTAGGTCGACGTGCCACCCGAGTCACGCGCTGACTGTGGTTGTCCTGTTGCCGTGCAGTGGCCTTGCTGGCTTGTGTCAGCCTGCGTACCACGCTTCCGTACCGTACAGGATAGAGGGGAGGATGCAGGTGATGACCGCTTTCCAGAGTGCTGAGGCGGGGGGGCCGTCTGACGTCCGGGCGAGACTGCGGATGTGCCGGGCGACTTGCCGTGCTTTTGCTGCACGTTCCGCGACGTGGCGTCTAAAGGTTAGTTTGCGGTCGAACCACACTCCAAGCCAACGAAGTGCTGGTTGGTCCCCCTCTTTGGTGGCGGATAGGATGGGGTGGATGGTAAGCTAACTCGGCAGGGGGGGGCAGCTAGGCTGTTCTTCTTTGTGAGGTGGATCATCTCAAGCTTCTCTGGGGCGAAAGCGACCTTGTTCTGGGCGCCCCAGCGGATAATGCTGTTTACGTCGTCTGCAAGGAGTTGGACGTTGTCTTCAAGGGAGGAGGAGGCCCTATAGAGGCAGATGTCATCCGCGTAGCCGAAGCGCAGGGTGTTGTCTTTGGCGAGGAGCTCTGCTAGGTACAGCATGTAGAGGACTGGGGAGAGTGGTGATCCTTGGGGGGTGCCGCAGGCGACCTTGTGGTATGGTATGATGGCATCTTCGAGCCTTACCTGTATGTGGCGATCAGTGAGGAAGCTGTTAACAAGCCGTGTGAGTGAGAGTGGCCATCCTTGGGCTGTCATGCGCTCGAGGAGTCGGTTTTTGAGCAGGGCGTCGAAGGCCCCTTGAACATCCATGGTGACCATGGTAACCTCGTTGCCAGCTGCAAGGGCTGTTTCGACGTCGTGGGTAAAGCAGGCGACCAGGTCCATCGCTGAACGTTTGGGGAGGGCGCCCCCATGTTGTGGGCTAAGGACGGAGTGAGTGAGGGCTGTCCAGGCGATCCTGCGGGCGATGATCCGCTCAAGGCCCTTAGAGATGCAGGAGAGGAGAGCGATGGGGCGCCATGAGCGGACGGAGGTCCTGTCCTTCTTGCCGACCTTTGGGAGCATGGCTACTTCGGCGTACTTCCATGGATGGGGAAAGTGATTCATCCGAAGGCAATGGTTGAAGAGGTTGTGGAGGGCGCCCTGGACTTGTGGCCAGCATGCCTTAAGCAGTCTGACTGTGACTCTGTCTGTTCCAGGGGAGGTGCTAGAGACCCCAATAGTGTTCCGTTCAACTTCCTCAAATGATACTCCCTGGTCCCATGGTAG